CGGTCATCCTTTTATAAGAACGAAATGGTGCTTTTAGTGACATTTTGCATACAAATCCCCATCTAGTAGGGCTCAGTCACCCAGTTTCGGTGGAAGTGCGCGAGTTTGATTGGGATTGAAGTAGGAAGGGAGCGTCTCAGCTTCCTCGGACCACGACCATTCGACTCAGCACCCCGAAGACTACAACTGGTGAAATTTTAATTTTTGCCTTAACTTCCCCTTTTTGTCTTTTTCTTCCAAGGAGCTTTTGGACTAAATTAAATCAAGAGTGCATAAACAAGAGTATGCAACTGTGCTATGTATATGGTTATGGGCCAGTGCGCGGCGCGCTGCCTTCATTACGTAACTTGCCTCCATCACTCTCTGAAAGCATGCACTCAAACCCGCAATTTCTCGTCCGAGCCCATCCGTTTTTGCTCGATTCATTCCAGTACCTACGCGATCTCTAAATTTTGGCGCGTGAACTCCAGTTCCGTACGAAAATTCATTTCAAACCAGAGGGAAAGCGCGGTGTGTTGATTTTCCGCAGTGCGCGGACTGCAGCTGAATGATGTAATGAAGGCAGCGCGCCGCGCATCTGGCCCATAGAAAAGAGATCACAGTTGCATACTCTTGTTTATGGACTCTTGATTAAATGTAGGACTAATGTCGATTTGTCCAGCTGTTCTATACACTCTTATGATCCATGGACGAAATTTTCAACCGGACGAACTCCTTTTCTTTCGAGTTGGACGAAATTATTGACCGACGAAATTTTCTGCCTCTACAGTATGCTGCAACGGAACTGCATTAACACACGGAGGAGCAATGTGGAAAATCTTTTTTTTTTTAACGTTCACAATGACCACCACTGTCTTGTAGAGCACTTTCAAGTCATCTCTTCGACGAGTTTCATCCTAGAATTGATGCTTAGCTGACAATTTGAATGCTACACTTCCAAGCCAAGGGCCTATATTTCCTGTCGCGTTTTCTGTTGTTCTTTTTGATGATACAGTATTCACACCCTCTCTATGGCGGGCCGTTGCGTCCGAAACCTTTCTTGGAGCAAGTTTTCCACCAGTTTAAGGCGGTTCATTTGGCTGGCCACGATGAATTCTTCGACATGCTGGAAACGTTGGCTCTTGCTGTGAGTTACCCGTGTGTGTGTGCATGTGTGTGTGTGTGTGTGTGTGTGTGTGTGTGCATGTGTGTGTGTGTGTGTGTGTGTGTGTGTGTGTGTGTGTGTGTGTGTGTGTGTGTGTGTGTATGTGTGTGTGTGTGTGTATGTGTGTGTGTGTCCCATATGGTGCAGTGGTATGTGCAGTCAATTTCCAATCGAGAGGTTGCGGGTTCAATTCCCGACGATTATGGCCACACACGTCTTTCTTCTCTTTCTCATTTTCCTTGCTCTTCTTTCATTCTCCTGGGTGGTTACCAACAGCCAGTGTATGCCGGAGTATGTGGTGTGGTGTGTGTGTGTCGAAAAAGAAAGAAAAAAGAAAAAAAATGGAAAATGGAAAAATGAAAAATAGGGATTCACTGGCCAGAAAAAGTCACTTCAATCAGCGGTGTGGTGGATACCAGGCTAAAAATAGTGGCGGTCAATTCATCAGCCTTGCAAGCTGTTGAATGGTGCAATCCCAGCACAAGTTGCTATGTCTAACATAGCTGTTCGCTATCATCGCTTCCGCGATGGGCAGGTCTGAGGTCTGAGGTGTGTGCGTGAGTGTGTGTGCGTGCGTGCGTGCGTGCGTGCGTGCGTGCGTGCGTGCGTGCGTGTGTGGTCTGTGTCTGTGTCTGTGTCTGTGTTGGAGTGTACCAGCTAGTTTGGTTGGTGGGTACACTTGTCTGTTATGCCAGATAGTGTTGGGTCTGTTGCCAACAGGCTCGGCTGCTTGAAGGTGTATCGTTGTACCTGCCACCTTTGTTGGTTTCAGGGTTGCAGCATGTTTGAGCGAGTTTCTGTCACTCGAGTTGAGCCCTTGAACCTTTGAGTTGAGAACCTTGAAATATTTTATTCTCACGATGGCCTGTGGCCAATGAGAGAAGCCTTGGTGTGAAAATTGTCGCCTGCTGGCGCCGTGCCAGGTGACTGGTGTACGCTCGAGCACGTGACCGCTTGTTCAGCCATGTTCGATTGGGAATAAGGGCCGAACGCTACATCGCAGCCTTTTCGGACCAAAACCAGTCAACTCAGCGTCCAAAAGACTACAACATATGGGCCAATCGCGGTCATCCGGGCTTTTATAAGAACGAAATGGCGCTTTTAGTGACATTTTGCATACAAATCCCCATCTAGTAGGGTGCAGTCACCCAGTTTCGGTGGAAGTGCGCGAGTTCGATTGGGAGGAAGGGAGAGTCTCAGCTCCCTCGGACCAAGACCATTCGACTCAGCACCCCGAAGACTACAACTGGTGAAAATTTGACTTTAGGCTTAACTTCTTCTTTAAGGAGGAAGTATGGTCTAGAATCAATGTTACACTACTCGTAATCTTCACGGCGCTGGGTCGAATGGTCTTGGTCCGAAGAAGCTGAGACGCTCCCTTCGCCCTTTATTCCCAATCGAACTCGCCACTTCCACCGAAACATGATTGTCTCTATTTTTTTGCCCAAAGCTATAGGTCGGTTTTAGCTGGTCACGGCCCATGTACTAGTACGGTGTTTGTGCCGTGTACATCTGCCAGCTTGGTTCAGCAGGTATGGGGATGGCCTGACATAAGTGAAACTTCCTCGGCTGGTCGTGTTTCTTCGTGTTGCCCCACACCTGCCGACACATCAGTAGCCAGCCGATTTTTGAGGCATGTCACGACCTGCGGACAATTGACCTTCTCCTGCCGACAACAGCCATGAGAGTGTTCCAATTTGACCGTGTGCTTGGTGTAGAGGTCATGATCCAGATTGTTGGCTTTTTACTGCTCATGTTGAGTGTTTCCATGGCAAACTCAGCCTGAGTGTCAATCAAAACCGTGAAATGTGTTCTTAACAGTGCTGTGTGTGTGTGTGTGTGTGTGCACGCGTGCGTGCGTGTGTGCACGTGTGTATTGTGGTTACTATGAAGGGGTCGTGGGTCCGGCTGCAATGCCTCCCGGATGATGTATTTTATTTTTGTTCATCCTTCTACTATTTGGCTATAATGGTGTGGTACCGTTGCTTTAACTCGGATGGTGAGCCGATTAAATTATGATGAAAAAAGAGGACAACATGTTACGTGGTATGACTAACTGGAGAAGTGTTGGGGCTAGGTGTCAGGTCGCCGAATGTCTCAGTACTCCTGTGTCAGTTTTGTGCCATTTTGTCGCACTCGCTGACTGTATAAGATCTGGTTACGTTGGTGGACAGTTAGTCATAACTCGTAACATGTTGCCCTCCTTTTTCACCATAACACTGCTTTCTCAACACCATTGTATAGCCAGTGGGAATGGAAACGTGTGAAGACTGTGAACGCATACTTTTTTGTTTAATGTGTGTGTGCATGGTTGTGCAGGAGGTGGATGTTCCGTTTGGTCCTTTGCCTGTATACTTTGGACCACAACTGAGAACTCTGAATGTACAACATTTGGTGTAAGTGTTAATACTCACCTGCTACTTGTGTTTGGCTGCGTGCGTGTAGGCGTGCACGTGCACACACGTACACACACACACGCACACACACACACACATGCACGCACACATGCACACGCACACGCTTACACACACACACACACACACACACACACACACACACACACACACACACACACACACACACACACACACATACACACACGCACACACACATACACACACAGTTGGCACACATTCTCCAGGTCAGTCTAGTCACTATGCTTGCACAGCGCACTATTTCATTGCTAGTGAATAATGTACAGCCAGAAAATTTAGTCGGTCAATAATGTTGTCCAACTCCAAAGAAAGGGAGTTCGTCCGGTTGAAAATTTAGTCCATAATTATCGATCTTTTACATGAAGAGAACAAGTTTCGTTTGTGGGTGGGTGGGTCAAGGGGAGTTTCGTTTCGGAAAAATATTGATATGAGAGACATCAAGGCATTCTTGCTGTCAAGTCAATCTATTTTTCGTTCAGGGGTGTGGGTGCGGGTGGGTGGGGGAGCGTCCTAACTAAACTTTTTCGTTTCGTGAAAATTATCGATAATGCCGGATAGCCCCTAAGAGTGTATTGAAAAGCTGGACTGGACAAATCGACATCAGTCAGGCATCTGCAATGTAATTTAGGCCAAAAGCTCCTTGGACGAAAAAGACGAAATTTAATTCCAGACGAATACTTCTGCTTGTACAGTAGTGTGCATGCACAACGTACTACCCCAGTCTGATAATGCTGACTGTGCATGCATAACGTACTACCCCAGTCTGATAATGCTGACTGTGCATGCATAACGTACTACCCCAGTCTGATAATGCTGACTGTGCATGCATAACGTACTACCCCAGTCTGATAATGCTGACTGTGCATGCATAACGTACTACCCCAGTCTGATAATGCTGACTGTGCATGCATAACGTACTACCCCAGTCTGATAATGCTGACTGTGCATGCATAACGTACTACCCCAGTCTGATAATGCTGACTGTGCATGCATAACGTACTACCCCAGTCTGATAATGCTGACTGTGCATGCATAACGTACTACCCCAGTCTGATAATGCTGACTGTGCATGCATAACGTACTACCCCAGTCTGATAATGCTGACTGTGCATGCATAACGTACTACCCCAGTCTGATAATGCTGACTGTGCATGCATAACGTACTACCCCAGTCTGATAATGCTGACTGTGCATGCATAACGTACTACCCCAGTCTGATAATGCTGACTGTGCATGCATAACGTACTACCCCAGTCTGATAATGCTGACTGTGCATGCATAACGTACTACCCCAGTCTGATAATGCTGACTGTGCATGCATAACGTACTACCCCAGTCTGATAATGCTGACTGTGCATGCATAACGTACTACCCCAGTCTGATAATGCTGACTGTGCATGCATAACGTACTACCCCAGTCTGATAATGCTGACTGTGCATGCATAACGTACTACCCCAGTCTGATAATGCTGACTGTGCATGCATAACGTACTACCCCAGTCTGATAATGCTGACTGTGCATGCATAACGTACTACCCCAGTCTGATAATGCTGACTGTGCATGCATAACGTACTACCCCAGTCTGATAATGCTGACTGTGCGCAAATGCTATACATGTACATGTACTGTCGGGCGCCGAAGAACGAACCGGCTCGAATTTCCCCAAGCACAGCATACCAATGTATACACGGTAACTCAACTGTGCATAGACTGTAGCACATGAAAATCAGAATGGTCTAGGCTAGGAGGCTGACCCCCTAGTTCTTCGGCCACCAACAGTACTGCAGCATGTGTGCGCCGACTACACTCGTGCGTATCTGTCAGGTACCTGTACAGATCTCGCGGCTGCCATTGGGGAGGTTTAGTCCCACGTAATCCGTGTGTACTTTACGTGTGTGTACCACGTGATACTCAGTGACCCACGTACAGGCGTATTCTGATTCACGGCATACCGTGTATGGAGGCTCACCCACGTTCCGGGTGTGAGGGTGCTCAGCTGAAGAAGTTTCCGAAGCACGAAATCAATATTCGATGAGCTTTGAAGCTTCGTCTTTGACCAAGTTTGGGCCTTTCACTTCATGCTTTTGTTTGTTCCGTGTGACTAAAGACAACATTGCAAACGTGGGTCCATTGCGTGAACTTTACGTGCATCACCCACGTTCCCGTATTTGTTACGTGGGACTAAACCTCCCTATTATGTTCTGCACACGTCTCCAACTGTAGACGGCAGTGCCCGCAGTTCTCCCTGTCTTGTTCTTGTGGCCATTTAATGTGTTCTATAGGAATCCTTTGCTTTCGCTTGGTCACATGATCACACCGTCCTTGTGGGAGTCCAGAGGTTTGAAGACGACCGCTACACAAGAGGAGTTTTTCCAGACCATCCACAAAGTGGTCAGCTTTATTATATTGTGTGTGCGTGCGTGCGTTCGTGCGTTCGTGTATGCGTGTGCGTGTGTGTGTGTGTGTGTGTGTGTGTGTGTGCGCGCGTGTGTGTGCGCGTGCATGTATGTATGTGTTTTAATGTGTGTGTGTGCGTGTGTGTGTGTGTGTGCATGTGCGTGTGTGCGTGCATGCGTGTATGTGTCGATTTTGCTCTGATCACTGAGCTATGGTGTATGTATTAAAGTCGATATTTTATGACCTATAAAATCGACCCCCCCCCCCAAGTACATGTATATGTGGACCTATCACTGGTAACTACGGTAACTGTGGCTTGGGCTGCATTCAGTTTTAGCAAGAGTAGATAAACAAGAGTGTGCAACTCCGGATCTCTCCTGCACAATCTGCAGATACCCCCGCCCACGGCGGAATTTTTTGTTGACGTCACCTTTTTCAGAAGTACGCGCATTTTGCTGCAGAACAGTGTGAGAGCACGTGCTGGGCACCGACTTTGTAGTGCAAATGCGGCCAAGTGCACGAGGGAAAACTTTCCAAAAGACTCATAGCGCGTGCGTCGTCGAAAAGATTACGTCAACAAAAAATTCCGCCGTGGGCCAACCCATCCGCGAGTTGCACACTCTTGTTTATCTACTCTTGGTTTTAGCTACCTGGTAGAGTAGAGTAGAGCCATTCTACCGATACAGGTACCGATACAGGTAGAAGGTAGAGGTAAGTGCATGAACGCTGTCCTGCCGGATTTAGTAGCTCTTCACGATATGTACAAGTACGTGAAATGTTTCTCTTCTGTATGGAGTTGTGTACATCTGTGTTCTGGAAATCCCGTGGCTCTACCAACTTCTACCGACTTCTACCAGCTTTTGTTTGGTAGAACCGGTAGAGAAAGGTAGAATCTACTCTTTTGAGTAGAAAAAATAAGGAACGCCTCTACCGAAAGAAGTAGTTTCTACCCAAACCTGTAGATCAAAAACGAACGCCCTAATTTAAGGCATGCCAAAGCATGGTCCAGACATTTTATCTTTGTTACCTGCGTTGTATTTGTTCCGATGTTGCTGCTTTTCTAGGCTGAGTTTGAAAACATTGTTGGTGACAAGCGCTCGTCGGTGATTCGTAATTGCGAGAAGTTGCCACGGACGTGAGTTGTTTCAGGCCTTCACCAGCTTGCATATATTGTGCGGGTGTGTACGCGCGTGCGTTCGTCTTTGCGCATGTGGATGTGTGTGTGTGTGTGTGTGTGTGTGTGTGCACGTGTGTGCATATGTATGTGTGTGTCTGTGTATGTGCATGCGTACGTGTGTTCATGTGTGTGTGGATGTGTGTGTGTCCGTTCATGTGTGCATTCATGTGTGTGTGTGCGTGCGTGCGTGCGTGCGTGCGTGCGTGCGTGCGTGCGTGTGTGTGGTGTGTATGTGTGCGTGTGCATGCATGGTGTATTTCTTCTCTTTCTTAGACTCCTCCTGGCTTTTCTTTCATTCCCCTGAGTGGTTACCAACAGCCAGTGCATGCCGGAGTATGTGATGTGATGTGTGTGCGGGGGAAAAATGAAAAAGGACCAAAAAGTAGAGATTCACTGGCCAGAAAAAGCCAATTCATAGCTGTGTGATATAGACCAGGCTGAACAGTGGCGGTCACTTCTTCAGCCTTGCAAACTGTTGAATAGTGCAATCCCAGCACAAGTTGCTATGGCTTCTGCTGTGGCATCGCTATCATTGCCTCCGGCGATGGGCGTCAAATGGTCAATGGCCAATTGTGTGTGTGTGTGTGTGTGTGTGTGTGTGTGTGCGTGTGCGTGTGCGTGTGTGTGTGTGTGTGTGTGTGTGTGTGTGAGAGAGTGTGCATCCGTGTGCGTCCGTGTGTTTGTGTGTGCGTGTGTGTGTGTATGCGTGCGTGTGTGTGTGTACATGGTGGGTGTAGATGAACAGGGACAGGAATACGAATACATGAGGGTGTGCGTGTGTATGAATGCTGATCTCTTTTTGGTCAAAACGTTTCGTCCGAATCTTATGCTTTTTTGCTCCTGCACGTGTATGTAATTTGACTAAGCTTGTAGAAGAAGTTGCAGGGATGAGTAGTGGGCAGGTAAGGGTGCAGCTTGCCTACTCTTCTTGCCCACTCTTATACATTCCGTTCTCACCGCGTGTGTGTGTGTGTGTGTGTGTGTGTGTGTATATATGTGCAGGGAGGAACGTGTGGCGTTTGTGCAACTAAACCCCCGCATACAGCGGTTGTTCTTCATGATAATCCGCTTGTTTCATCCAACAGTGCCGAACCAGCAGAAGGGACACCGTGACGCTACTGAAAGGCAATTGGATGCAAACTTGCGGTTAGCACGTCGCACACAGTCATGAGTACCCCCTTGGCCTGGTGGTGGCGTCGCACACAGTCATGAGTACCCCCTTGGCCTGGTGGTGGCGTCGCACACAGTCATGAGTACCCACTTGGCCTGGTGGTGGCGTCGCACACAGTCATGAGTGCCCACTTGGCCTGGTGGTGGCGTCGCACACAGTCATGAGTGCCCCCTTGGCCTGGTGGTGGTGGTGCTAGTTTAGAAGAGAGATATGTTTAGCTGCAGACCGTCTCGTTAAAAGACGTAGCTGCGGCGTGGTGGAGTACACGCGTACCCTGCAGTCTGTGCCTGGCTGGGAAAGTGGCACAGCGTGAAGGCTGGCTGTGAGCGTGATGGGTAGATAGATGCCTTGCTCTCCACCTGGGTACCTACATGTGTTGTTGACCAGCCCCATAGCCTGCTGGTTGGCGTGGCTGGACACTTGACACCGTAACATTTTAGTGTGCGTGTGTGTCCTTGACCAACTCCATAGCCCGCTGGTTGGCGCTGGTGGCCTTTTGACACCGTCACTCCGTAGCAGCGTTAGTATGTGTGTGTGTGTGTGTGTGTGTGTGTGTGTGTGTGTGTGGGTGTGTGCGTGCGTGCGTGTGTGTTGATACTTACCTGGTGAGTTCCAGCCATCACGGAGCGACCGTGCGCACAGCAGGCTCTCTGCACTGGCCATTTTGTTCGCTGTTCCAGGGTGGATGTGCCGGCCACTCGGGTCCTTCAAACGGTCCTCTGTCATGTCGCCACGTGCGCTGTGTGTGTCTCTCTCTCTGCCTAGGAGGTCCGCTCACTGCAGACCCCTGAGGGAGCTGGGACACTGTAGTACTCACTGCAGACCCAGAGTACTTGAACTGGGACACTGCAGTGCTCACTGCTTCTTGCTGTCTTTGGTACTGCTGATTGAGCAGGTGATCATGACGCCAACCCTCCACTGATAACCCTACCGATAAGTTACCAATAAGGTACTGTTGCTTTTCAGCTCCTCCTTTTCTTTCTTTCTTATTGGTTTGCTCTCTCTTTTTTTTGTTTCTTTTCATGTACTTCGTGTACACCAGGGAGTCGTACCCAGCCAGGTTTGGGTACGACTCGTACGACTCCCTGATGTAGACGAAAGCTGTAACTCTTTTCTGGCAAGGCAATTTGTTTCAATGGCTGAAATCGATGAGACTGGACGTTCTGTTTTTCTTCTTCTTCTTCTTCTTCTTCTTCTTCTTCTTCTTCTTCTTCTTCTTCTTCTTCTTCTTCTTCTTCTTCTTCTTCTTCTTCTTCTTCTTCTTCTTCTTCTTCTTCTTCTTCTTCTTCTTCTTCTTCTTCTTCTTCTTCTTCTTCTTCTTCTTCTTCTTCTTCTTCTTCTTCTTCTTCTTCTTCTTCTTCTTCTTCTTCTTCTTCTTCTTCTTCTTCTTCTTCTTCTTCTTCTTCTTCTTCTTCTTCTTCTTCTTCTTCTTCTTCTTCTTCTTCTTCTTCTTCTTCTTCTGCTTTCACTGGACTCCTGCAATGCAGCAAGATCCCATTTGATTGAACGCCCAACATCCGCCTGGTCAAGGCTTCTTTTTATCCGAATGATTTGGATGCTATAGTATTTACAAGTACTGTCTTTTCCCGGTCTCTAGATCTCTGCCTGTCCTGTTCCAGTCATTTGACATGGATATACAGTGTACATACATACATACATACATACATACATACATACATACATACATACATACATACATACATACATACATACATACATACATGATGTAGCTCAGCTAATTTCAAGTATAAGCTGCAGATTTTCATGTCCCCTGGTGGTACGTTATAATGAAGTTTCGCTGTACTAGCACGACTGTTCGAATTTAATAGGCTGGGTCAAAATAATAATGCATATCACCTCCCCCCCCCCCCCCCCCCCCCATTGCTATGGTCGGGGGGGGGGGGGGGGAGGCAAGGGGCTCGAGACCTGAGAGAACTACTGGAACATAACTGCACTACATGTATCACTGTGAGAATATGAGTATGCACGTTTTGCACTGGGAATGCATCATGCACAGCATTGCACATGCATGCAAAGTATGTGGGTGGGTGGGGTGTGGGTGTGTGTCCTTCGCATGTCACCATGGTTATTATGCTGTGGTCTGTCGGCCACTGTCTGCAGTCATGATGTCAAGTGCAGACAATGTACTGTAAAAGCAGAAAGTTTCGGTGGTGTAATATTTTCGGTATTCTCCAAAATCGGCGGTTCGGTAGAGGGAAATTTTCGGTAAAAGCCGTTTTCCAGGTAAGTGTACGTACTAGTACTACATGTATACAGTATCGGTTGTACCGAAATTTTCGGTGCGTTTTCTTATCGGTAAAAATTGTCGGCCCCGAAGTTAAAATATAAAACACCACCGAAAATGTCTGCTTTTGCAGTACTCTGGATAGTGTGTAGGGCTCCCTGCTGATGTCATGCAGAAAATATGCCAATCACTCTTGGCTATGATTGTACTCTCGCCGGCATTAACACTGTACAACGCCTAGCATAGCGGATATCTTAAATTTTTTAAGTACTTCTTATCAAGGTCAAAAGATGCAAACTAGTTGAAACTACATAGTCACCAAGTGATACTCTCAACACATTCTACCAACACCTGGTTCGGTAGAGGCTGCAGAGCAGGGCATTGCAGCAGGTTCTCGGTCCAGCTACAGAACGCTCCTACCGCGAGCTACCTCTCGCGGTAAACTAAAGAGAAGTGCATTACCGGTACTGGTATATCGAAATAAGACTGTTGTACGACTCCCTGGTGTGTACTTCCACGAGAGAGAGAGAGAGAGAGAGAGAGAGAGAGAGAGAGAGAGAGAGAGAGAGAGAGAGAGACTTGTATTCGGAATGCGACGCTAAGTCGATCACTTCAAGTAAGCTAGGCGTAGCACAGCAGAAGCAGCGGGTGCTATGCATGTACGGAAGAGCAATCAGAGCATTTTTCCCAGTGGCCTTCCTGCCGCTGCCATAGCTCTCACACAGCAGCCGCCAGTCGGGACGCCACGATCCAGTGAACCGTAAGAAGACAACAAAAAGTAATGAAAAAGAGAGTGTACTGGAATTGAAAATAGGGCACAGCACCAAAATAATAGACATTAAAAATTAACCTTGCAAAGACAAGACAAGCAAACACACAAAGCCAAAGATGAGAAAAATATGCACACAATCGCAAGCACACACACACACACACACACACACACACACACACACACACACACACACACACGTACGTACGTACGTACACACACACGCACACAAACACACAGGTTTTCAGCGGCTGACATCGCCAATTGGTTGGCCGAGACTACACACCACCGGTCACGTCGACACTCCAACACACACACACACACACACACACACACACACACACACACACACACACACACACACACACACACACACTGCTGTGCTCCCGCGTGCACACAACACAGTTCATGTGTAAGTGGGGCATGTCAGTGCGTGGATACGTAGATGCGCTCCTTAGGGTGTATGGCGTAGCGTACTGTATTGCCAAGCGGCAGTAGACTGTGCGTTAGAATGGCCAGCTCATGCTGCGACAAGAGCAGATCTGACGATGACGACGTTGTTGACGATGATGATGCTGCGAGTGCCACATCACCGGCTGGAAAGCCTGGTGTGAGTGGTGGCAAGTTTGAAGAGCCAGAAGAGGACGCGGAGCGCTGCTGCTCTGCTGCTGCCGATGCTGCTGCTGTCCTATTCCCGTTGCCGGTAGCGAGAAGCGGCATTTCGTCTTGATCCGCTACGAACGAGAGAACGGCCATGACTTCAACGTGACTGCTCTCTGCAAGAAAGAGAGAACGCAGAGACAGCCATAAATGCTACTCTAGCTCAGACGACACCATACAGGCAAGATGCACAGGCCGGTAAACATACGAAAGGTGAAGGAATACACCGTCCAGGACAGACTTCAGCAGTCATTTCAGGAGGGCCACTAGGGGGGGGGGGGGGGGGGGGGGGGGCTGTGTGAGCTGCATGGTGTGCTCTACGTTGACGACATGGAACATTTTTAATTTTTTTACGGTAATAAAAAGGATCAACCGTGCCCTCATTCTGTACAAACATCAAGGTAAAGGTGGTGGGTAAGGTTCCAAGAACGTTTTCTCGTGATTGTCATCAGTTGGAATAACATCACATTGTTGATACGAAGGAAAAAGAGCAGAGCATTATAAATAGAAAGTGTAACATTTGAGCTACAAGAAATAGCGTGAAAATAAAACCAAGTTGGTGCTGAGGAGATTAAAAGGTTCCTGGAACCTTACCCACCACCTTTGCCTGGATGTGTGAATAGAATGAGTGCGCAGTTGATCCTTTTTATTGCCAAAACTAAATTGTTCTCTCCACATGGGTTATTTTTATTTTTATTTATTGATTTATTCATATCTTATGGGGCAGTCCCCACAGACTCAAGGTCTTCCTACGGGGCACCCTACATTTGCAGCAGCAACAACAACTTACCGGACCAGACATGATGGCTGATTACAGGCTCCATGGCTAGATGTTGACGCTGCTCTGCACCAGCAGAATGCCCACGAGCAGATACTACTGTCGTTGCAGCAGATGCAGCCGTGGACGATGCACTGGAAGCGGCACTGCAGGAAGGAGAACGTGACGTCGTGCCGCTTCCACCTCCGGTTACAGAGACCACGTGCACTGATGAAGCGTGCATGAGGCGGCGTGTTTGATCCGGGAACATCACCTGAAACAACACACAAATACATACACGCACTCACACACACACACACACACACACACACACACACACACACACACACACGCACGCACGCGCGTACACACACGCACACACAAGCGCAAATACACACTCACACACACACACACACACACACACACACACACACACACACGCACGCACACACAAGCGCAAATACACACACACACACACACACACACACACACACACACACACACACACATCAGGTTATCAGTAGCTGACAGATTTGATTTTTTGTTTAGGGCTTTAAATACACGGTTATACTGGAAAAACGGTTATCCGACCGCTAGAATTCAACGGTTACGAAACCGTCGTGTTTGACGCAGAAATGTTACTACACCTAAATTACATGATACACAGTATCAGTAAAACCTGTCACGGCGACCACTCGGATAAGGCGACCACTCGGATAAGGTGACCACTCGGATAAGGCGACCACCTGTCCAAGAAGACCACTGAAACCAGGACCAAGGGATGCTATTTCCAGTCAAATGACTGGATAAGGAGATCACCTGGTAACAGAGACCACATTTTGAACGTCCCTTGAGCGGTCGTCTTACACAGGTTTCAGTGTATCAGTAGTACTGGCATGTCATACCTGCAGGACTACTCTGCGTACATCGTCCACGTTTGTCAGCGTTGCGTCAACACTGATCGACGTGGCCAGGCTGGTCGAGAACTGGTAGATGTGACCTGGGTTGGACGGCTGGCGAATGCTACCCGATGCCTTGCGCAGCAGAGAGCTGTCCGGCAACACCATCACAGGCTGCCAGGCCTGAACAGACAACCAGAGCAGATAATCAAAACAACAATACATGATATGCAATACACAATAGCGAGAGTTCCCAGATTGCCCAGAGTGCTCAACACCACAAGGATGGAGCATTAGCACAAAGGCAGAAGAGAGAACAGAGACAAGCGGCTAGGTCATAGCAGTGGATGAAACGCAGCGTTACAACAGGACAGCAGGACTGTACATGGTAAACAACGAGTTTGGTGGTGGCAACAGATTTGTTGTTACCAGCAAATTCGAAGCTTACGCATTCAATACAACTGTTCGTACCATCCCTCCTAGCTCACAGCGCACTCCAAGAGTTGACACTCCGAGTGTTTCTTGATAAAGGTCCGCTGGCGTTGCAGTGTAACGAGTACTCTCCGTACAACATGGATAATAGTCCCTGTGACGTTGACGAGTCCGCCCAGGCTGGTGTGGGTAACACCACTAGCAGCAGCCTCAGTGGCAATGGCAGCGGCGGGTGCATCAGTAACAGTTTTGTAGCCCCGGATAGTGCTTCACTCAACAGATCAGCGGAGGTCAGTGCTGTCAGCATAAAGCTACTTTCTGGCCTACGGACCCTAACCTCTGGTTTGCCCAGGTAGAGGCCCAGTTTGCCACTAGCTGCATATCTGCTGAGCTTACAAAGTTTTTAAGATTATGTCATATCATCACTATCGCAAGAGTATGCTCATGAGGTTCGCGACATTTTGTTGAGGCCGCCAACCGTCGAGCCATACACGCACCTCGGGGCTCAGTTAATAGCTCGCCTGAGTGCCAGTGCACAGAAGAGGTCAAGCTTTGGGATGACCTTCGATCCGAAGTTGTCTTTGGCGGAGCACCTGCGTGCTGTCTCTCTACGAGGAAAACAGCGCCCGGGTCTCCTGTGGCGAGCTGCGCCCTTCCTCTCCAAAGAAGGTCGACTAATAGTCTACAAGGGATTTGCAAGGCCCGTCATGGAGTATGGTCCGCTCGTTCGGATGAGAGCTGCTCCCACATCCCCTTCAATGGGTCACATGACATGATCACTTTCTGCACAAATATAGTCACATGACAAAGCTGTGAAAGCAGTGGATAAGAGGTCATGGTGCTGCAAGTACCGTACCTGTGTAGCGTCCAGGAGGCAGTGGACGACAGCAGATATCTTGCCACGCTCCAGCTCATGACTCTGCATGAGTAGATGCTGCAGACAAGTGCCGGCCTGCAAGTTGAATGTCTGACAGCGCCTGTACAACACCGTACATGTATTCACACACACACACATACATACAGACAGGCACGCACACGCACGCACACACACACACACACACACACACACGCGCGCGCATGCACGCACGCACGCATACAGACAGGCACGCACGCACGCACGCAAACACACACACACACACACACACACACACACAAGAGGACACAACCGCACATCATTACGTCAAGCTTTATCGCCTTTACGCGCGGGGAGTTACTAAAAACGCCTAACAAACGTAAGCTGACAAGTTATCCAATGTTCGCTGCCTCTACCCTGTAAAAGGGCACAACCAGATACAGTGGAACCTCTCAAGGCGACCAATCGGATAAGGCGACAACCTGTCCTAGAAGACCACTGAAACCAGCACCAAGGAATGCTTTTTCCAGTCAAATGACCCTGGATAAGGAGACCACCTGGTAACAGAGACCAGGTTTTGAAGGTCCCTTGAGCGGTCGTCTTAGACAGGTTTCACCGTACAGTGCTGGTCAACGCAGTCTTATCAAGTCAGTCATTGCCATGCCGGGCACGCTGCAGGCCCAAACCTCTACACACTGGCCTGCTGTGCACTGCCACGGGAACGCACACTTGTCTCAAGCGATCGGATTTCATTGAGCAGCACCATAGACCAGGAAGACAAAGCACACCAAACATCACACACTCTAGTTTGCAGCTAGATAGAGCGAGCGATGTTTGGCAAGTGTTGACCGCCATTTCACAGACTGTGCGAGGAGTCTTCAAAACACTACTCACTTGTCCAATCTGTTGATCCGCTTCAGCAGCAGTTTGACATCATCTCTGTAAGCACAAACACACAAACAAAAGAATGGAGTCATTGATGGTAGAAGGACACGATGAATTCTGAATCCAAACAAGACATGAGTACACACGTTCACACCCTCACCCATGCATGCATGTAACATACCCCCCCCCCCCCCCACACACACACACAGACACACAGATACACGCACGCACACACAATCGATGAACAGATTGCAGCTCTTATCATGTCAGCAACGGCATTGTATTGAAAGAGATCACAAGCAGTGTTGACACAGTATTCTTCAACATTCATGCAACAACGACACACATACAATGGCGCTTCAAAGTTCTAAAAAATCATCCATACTTTAAAAAAATGCGCGCGTGTGTGTGTGTGTGTGTGTGCGTGTGTGCGTGTGTGTGCGCGTGCGGGTATCTGTGCGTGCATCTGTGGTAGTCCCACTGAACTATGGCTGATAGTTGCATGACTCTGGTTGTAATGTATGTTTTGTCTCTGTCATTGATGCGCTTTCAGTAATCTGCTGATACTAGTATGCTAGAAGCATCCTAGATCTACCTGCACTGTGTTCCTTCTGTACGCATTCGCCACATACTTGGCATGCCCTATCCCTAGCGCTGGGTAGTACCATGCAGTCTACCAGCGACGTAGGTCGCACGTGATACTTGTTGTAGTGGTTGTACATATTGACGGATCCTGGCGCAAGGTCGAGGAGATCGAGAGAGAGAGAGAGCCCGAGAATGGCGGCCAGATCCATAGTGTCCTAATTTATTATCCCGAACCGTTTTCCTTGTATTTATTCTTATTGCATGTATTGATTAATCCCATTGTTGGATTGAACCGTGTTGGCTGGTGTGAACTGAGTGACGAGTTGACTGAAACATTGGCGCAGTGAACAGGATTCTTTTCTTAGTAAGTCACTCGTTGAAGTTTGTAGTTTCCACCACGCACGTGGGAAATGGCAGAAAAAGTAAAAGTCGGCGTCCGCCTTGACCTGGACCACGAGCTGGGAAACGATCATTTCCTTACTTGGCGTAGTCAGTTGGAGATTGGCTTTGCACTCCACGAAGTGAAGGATCAGGCGAAGCAGTATTTGGCAGCAGCTGCCAATTTAGGCGAGTCAGCAAGTCACTACTTATGGCAGAGCTACCCGACAGTGCCAACTACTGCAACTAATCCCTACAACGATCTTATCAAATTGTTCCAAGAATATTTCGGCTCGAAACAGAGCGCAGCGTCCCGTTTGGCGGAATTGTTTGCAGTCGAGCAACGTCCTGGGGAGACTGTACAGGCCTTTCGGCTGCGGGTGCAAAAAGACATGAGGGTTTGCAACCTGACCAGCACTCGTACTGCCGAGGAACTACTGGGAGTTGTGGGAGTCCACCTGTTTGCACGGGGGCTCAACTCTGCCAGTGCCCGAAAGAGTGTCTTGGAGCACGATGCGCAGGACTTGAGCTCCGCCGCAGCCAAGGCGCAGGCAGTGGTATTAGCTGAAGAGGGTGCCAAAGAAGCACCAGTGCCAGAGGTCAGCTATGCAGCTACGCATCAACCTGGACATGCACCATTGCCAGCATCAGGCTGTGGGTATTGTGGAGAGACGCACGCTCCAGGCAAGCCGAACTGCCCAGCAGCGCGTATGTTCTGTGCCCAGTGTGGGCGTAAGGGACATTTTGCATCGGTGTGCCGTGCCGGATCTGGTCGAGTGGACCGCAGTGCCCAGACCCAGTCGCAGAGCACGTCATCCAGGCAACACAACCGATCAGCACCAGCCGTTTCGTCACTCCGAACTGGTGCAGCATCACCAGCCGTACAGTCCGCCCAGCCACCAGAGGCCTATGAAACATTCGGGGTACAGGCAGGGAAGACCGGTTTCACTCTACCTCTGAGGCAGGTAACATTGGACTGCCGACACACCTTGTCGCTAAGAGTGAACTCTGCCAGCATGGTTTCCATCATCCCTAAGTCATTACTCCCATCGGGGTACGTCCTGTTACCGCCGCCATGCCCACTCCAGCCAGTGGGGACGCAACGCATAACAGCTGTGGGCGTGTTTGAGGGTAACCTGAGGTATCAGGGCCGCGAAACGACTGAGACTATCTTTGTAGTCGATGACGCACAATGCACTGTGCCAGCATTACTAGGAGAGCAGGCCTCCATCCGTTTAGGTCTTCTGGCATTGCCGATTTCAGCAGTTGAAATCCCAGCCTGTGCCGAGGGCCTAGCGTCACTCCCTGCTATGCGCGGCCCGATTACAATCGCTCTCGATCCGGATCACCCTCCGTCACAACAGTCATCTCGACGGGTAGCACCGGCACTGTTCACCTCGCTACGCCAACAACTAGATGCATGGCTAGAACAAGGAGTGGTCGAGATGGTGGAGGAAGTAACGGCTCAGGACTTTGTTTCGCCACTGGTAGCCACACCGAAACCCGACAAAACCATGCGCTGGTGCGTAGATTTACGACAAGTCAACGCAGCGGTAGGGCGACCGGGTGTGCAACTCCCAACAGCTGATGAGCTTCTATCTCAACTGTCAGGCGCACAGATGTTCTCGAAGCTTGACCTGAAGTCCGGGTATTCTCAGCTCGAGATCTCACCTGAATGTCGCCATGCCTTCGTGGTCGCCTCACCCTTGGGGTACTTCCGTTTCTGTCGTCTACCGTTCGGCGTGTCCAGCGGCCCTGAATTATTTCAACGTAAGATGGAGCAAATTCTGGCAGGATGTGAAGGGGTAGTCATCTACCTAGACGACATTCTGATTTATGCTCCATCATTGGAAGAGCATGATCGACGCAAGGCAGCAGTCCTGACGGCTCTCAAGGAGTACAATGTCACCCTGAATGACAAGAAGTGCGTCTTCCAGGTCTCAGAGCTGGAGTTTCTGGGACATCACGTCTCGGCGAAGGGCATTTCGCCAGGTCCATCGAAGGTTGAGTCACTCAGTCAGATGTCGGATCCCACCAATGTGGCCGAACTCCGAGCATTTCTGGGCTTAGCAACCTACGTGGCAAAGTTTATTCCTAACATTGCCTCGGTTGTCGCTCCGATGACAGCACTATTGTCTGGCGAGTGGAATTGGACATCGGCTTGCCACACCGCAGCTGAGAAGATACGCAGTCTGATTACTAGTGCACCTATTCTGGCGCTATTTGACCCAACGCTGCCGACCCGCATCGAAGTTGACGCGTCTGGCCATGGCCTTGGAGCAGTACTCCTACAGCAGTCGCAAACAGATGGTCAAGAGTGGCGACCTGTCTATTACGCAGGCAGAAAGTTGTCAGATGCAGAGTCACGCTATGCAACCATCGGGCGAGAGGCACTGGCGGTCGCGTGGGGCTCTAATCGTTTCCGCAGCTTCATCACCGGCATGCCTGTGACCATTATCACTGACCACAAGCCACTGGTTCACGTATTTATGCCGTCGTACAAGCTAGCCTCAGCTAGTCTCCGAGTACAGCGCCTGGTGTTGAAAGTGCAAGACTTGACCCTAACCGTGCAATATCGCCCCGGCAAGTTGAATCACATTGCTGACGCATTGTCCAGGCTGCCGGCTGAGGATGCTGACCCGAGTTTCCTTCTCGTCCATGCTGTCACCGTGGCAGACGGTGTTTCAGCACATCGCCAGTTGATTGCCAGAGAAACAGCGCGTGACTCCACTCTGTGCTCAGTGCGAGATGCGCTGCGATCGGGTAAATGGCCGTCGGCGACAGAGCTCGCACCGTACCAAGCCCTTAGTCCGGAACTCAGCGTGTGGCCCTTTCCGAACTCGTCGGAATTTCTCATTCTGAGAGGGGAAAGAGTGGTGATTCCAGCATCGGCAGCTCAACACGTACTGAACCTGGCTCACGAGGGACACCTTGGTCGAGACAGGACACTGGCTCAACTCAAGGAGACTGTGTGGTGGCCCGGTTGGAACACGGCAACTCGACATTTCCTAGCCAGCTGTACACCATGTGCGACAGAAGCAGCTATACGACCAGTACCGCTGAAACCACGCGACCTACCTCCACATGCCTGGCACACCGTCGCTATTGATGTGTTTTATTACCAGCAAAGCGCCTTCTTCAGCCTTCTGGACTTGTACAGTCGGTATCCAGCAGTTGTCCGCTTACCAGCTGAGAAGACCAGGGACATCATCAAGGCGCTGGAGCAGATCTTCACGCTGTTCGGCATGCCACGGCACGTCATCTCCGACAACGGTGCACAGTTCTGCAGCGACGAGTTCCGCAACCAGCTTGAATCGTGGGGCATCAGCCACGAACGCACTGTGCCTTACACACCACGTCAGAACCCTGTTGAGCGTCTCCACCGGACATTGAAGCAACATATGCGGAAATCCGGCATGCCACGAGCAGACGACGCCCTTCGTGTGGCGCTCAAAGCTGTTCGATCAGCTATCAACACCACTACCGGCAAACCGCCGGGAGATCTCCTACTACGAGGAGGTTATCGTACTCCACTCAGGCAGCTTCAGCCAGTAGATAACATGGCTACTGCCGAAGATGATGACGAGATAGACGAGGAAGTGCGTGAACGCGATGCTCAGCACAAGGCAGCATCCAAGGTGACTTTCAACGCAGCTCACCAAGCAAAACCCCGCACTTTGGTGCCTGGACAAGCAGTGTTTGTCAAGCAACCCTCTGGCTCAACTGACAAAGCTACCATCGTCACAGCAACACCACATGATGCAGTCATTACGACCGAAGAGGGAGTGACTTTCCGCCGTCATCTTGACCGTCTGCAAGTGGATCCGACGGAGGTAGTAGCAACAGCTACTCCGCTAGATTCCACAGTTCCATCAGCTCCCGGCAGTCCAACGGCCGCAACACCTAGTACTGTTCCGCCAGCTGCTGGCCGTCCGCAGCGTACGACTCGAAAGCCAAGTCGTTATCAGTAGACCGCTGGTCTTTTCTAAGAAGGGAGGAAATGTGGTAGTCCCACTGAACTATGGCTGATAGTTGCATGACTCTGGTTGTAATGTATGTTTTGTCTCTGTCATTGATGCGCTTTCAGTAATCTGCTGATACTAGTATGCTAGAAGCATCCTAGATCTACCTGCACTGTGTTCCTTCTGTACGCATTCGCCACATACTTGGCATGCCCTATCCCTAGCGCTGGGTAGTACCATGCAGTCTACCAGCGACGTAGGTCGCACGTGATACTTGTTGTAGTGGTTGTACATATTGACGGATCCTGGCGCAAGGTCGAGGAGATCGAGAGAGAGAGAGAGAGCCCGAGAATGGCGGCCAGATCCATAGTGTCCTAATTTATTATCCCGAACCGTTTTCCTTGTATTTATTCTTATTGCATGTATTGATTAATCCCATTGTTGGATTGAACCGTGTTGGCTGGTGTGAACTGAGTGACGAGTCGACTGAAACAGCATCAGTGATAGAGGACACAGTAGATAGTAGGACATGTACAGTACATACCTTGCCAGAGCAGTACTATGTAATAGCTGCAGGGCATGGGCAACCAGTCGCAGTTCAGCCACGGCCAGCTGTTCACCTGCACCCAGGCCAGCGTAAAGATGCTCAGCTTGGTACGACAGACACAGTACCTGACAACAACAACAACAACAACAACAACAACAACAACAACAACAACAACAACAACAACAACAACAGCCATAGCAGCAACAGCAGCAGTTGGGTTATTCAGAGGATCGTGACGTCATCCAAATTCATACGTATTCCATAAAAGCCAGGGGAATGGGTACAACTATAGGAAGGTGTTATCAGTATCACACACATCAAAGGGGCCATAAAATGATCCTGAACGTTTTTCACCCTGAGGATGGGCCATGCCCAAAAATTTGGTGAATTCTATTATTTATTTATTTTGATGTGACGTATGCAGCGAAGAGACCGTATTTGGAAAGTTCGAGTTGAAGTACCGTAATTAAAAACGATTCTTATTCCAAAAAAACCACCCGGGTTTTATTATAATTGATAACACCCCATTTCGGGACAAAGAACGTACCCGTCCCACGGGCTTTATCAGTGATAGCACCCATTTCAGGACAGATAATGCACCTGTCCCAGAGCTGGCTTTATAGATATTGATGTTAGTGAATGATTCTGCGCATGCACGCAACGCAATGAGGTGAGATTTCAGTAGGACAAATGCATACCTTGGCAGCTTGGTTACTGTTCCATGCCACTGTCGTTCTCTTGTCGTGTATCGCCTGTACAGGACACCGACGACAACAGTCATTATTGTAGTATGAGCATGAGATAGTGCCGCACACATGGACAAACGCATGTGTTACGTTAAAGGCCATACACAATCACACTGGAGTTTGTCTGACTTGCTCACCGCCAGAAACTGGTTATATGGGTCTCCCCGGAAGAAAGGATAGATAAAAAAGGAACCTTTGAGAGATACCTCAACAGCTATTGAAGTGCTCAAAGCATGTGCATGCACACGTATACCACACACACACACGGGCATGCGCGCGCGCGCGCACACACACACACACACACACACACACACACACACACGCACAAAAACAACAAAACTCTTCGAACTCACGTTCTCCAGAAGAGAGCAGGCTTGCAAATAGAGACACGACCAGGAGGCCAGAGTGGAGGTGGGTGAATTGATCTCACTCAATCTTTGCATGTCACTGTAATTACACACAACAAGAATGTAGATTGTGCAGCAACTACTGAACTAGTCAGGTAAAAAACAGGCTAGAGTCTTGGATGAAGGAAGCAAACGAACACACGAAGCACAGAAGCCATAGTAGTTTCAACTAGGTCTTTCTGTCCTAGCATTACTTTTCACGTCGAATACAGTGGTGATTATAGCAGCCGCAAGGAAGTCCTTCCAACCGGCACTTTGGCGGTCAGACAACACAGGCAAGAACACTACCGGCCCAAGAAGGAAGTCATACACAAGCACAGCCAACTCCGTCAAGTCGACCACTATGATATAGTGGCCGGGAAGAACTTGACTTTGTTACTCCCTACGTCTCCGTGTGACGTTAGACAACAAAACGCGGACTTACGCAAGCGTCAACTTGATGAACTGCAGACGACTGGCACCGGCCTTCTGCGCCAGAGCCCGACGTACAGACTGCTCAATGAACGCGCTACCCTCTGCGAACAACACCACAGCGGAAACAACAACGACGACGACGATGACAACAACAACAACAACAACAACAACAACAACAACAACAACAACAACAACAACAACAACAACAACAACAACAACAACAACAACAACAACAACAACATGAAGGATAATAGAACTTGTCACGAGAACACATTCTGGAAGCTATTATAAGATTTTGTTGTTGTTGTTGTTGTTGTTATGAGTTCACAATCGATTTTATTCATAGCTATTTTGCAGACTTTGTCTCCTCGTCGGCTATTTAAACACATGAAGGATGGAGGGACTCAGTGTGCGCACGTGGACACCAAACACAAGCAACAAGCCTTCCCGTGTCTGCATGGCATGTAAAACTACAGCTGCAGACCAAAATAGGTTCAGTAAAACTATGCAAAGACAGCATAGAGACCCGCAGCAGACCTTTTGTGTGTGAACGACTCCATTACACGGGCTAGTGCACACACGAACGGACCGCACTGACCACGAAGCTAGTGCCTGGTAGAATGGAGGCACCAAACGTAACACCTAACACACCCCGCACAGACAACAAGATAACTACGCAACCTACCAACGGCTTCTTCCCGCTTCACTCTGGACTGAGAGTCGGCCTTGGGAACAACCAGTCTGCTACCAGAGAACTGAATGCCAGCACAAGAAAAAAAGCAAACAAAAACCTGTAGAGTACTGTCGGCAGCATGCTTCCAACAAACCATACAACACTATACAGTCAGACCTCGCACAACCGCACACATCCGTTTTCAACAAAAAATACCTGGATAGGCGAGGGAACCGGATAATCGAACATAAATACTGTATGTATGCATGGCATATGCTGTAAATCGGTAACCAACGATTTTCTTCCGGATGGCGAGGGATCCGGATAAAAGAGGACCGGATAAGAGTAAGCGAGGTCTGACTGCACTGACTGCAGTCAATTCATCCACACGCAGTCCCTAGCTGTTCCGCCGTACAACCAGACGGCATATGGCAATACCCTCCAAAAATCACCCTGGCTCTGAACGTGTGAGGCGCTGGGAATACGGACGTCCACGGGCTCAACATGCACTCAGTGTAGGCGTGCATGTTGAGCGTATGACTGTGACGGCCTGTGACTACTGCATATTGTACCGCACATACAGTGAAGCTTGTCAAGGAGACCACTCCAATACGGTGACCACCTGAAGACCGGGGCCACATTTGAAAGGTCATCTTAGATAGATTTCTCGGTTACAATAATTACACATAAGTAAAACGCCAGTCGCAATAAGTCGTGTAGTTTGTCACCAGGACTGAGTGCGTAGAGAATGCCAGTGCATGCTAGCTTACCTCTAACTGAGGCACCAGGTCGGGTAGCGATGACTTGAGGAACGCATAATGGCCAGCCATGAAGGTCGGGAACGAGGCCTTCATCGTCGGACAGTGAGGCAGGGCGTTGAATATCAGAATCAGGTGGGCAAGATCTTGGGTACGTCAGTCACATAGTCAAGGGCATACGTAGTTGAGCACTATTACTACATGTAATGCAATATTAGGGGCAAAAAAGCACCTCTGGGAAACCCTGCTAGCTGCAGGTACATGCAAGCAGGGAATTCTGGCAGGACAATCCACGCAGATCCACATCCACGCACATGCATGCACACACTCGTGAACACCCGTGTACCTACCCTCACACACCTACCCCCCCCCCCCCCCCACAGATATACGGACACGCAGAGAGTCGACTGTTTTCACTTCTGAGGACACTAATACAAAACGAAAAAGACATTGTACCAGCTGCTGCTGCTCCTTCCCCCTCCCCCCCCCCCCCCCCCCCCTCCCAAGAAAAAGCCCCAAATTGTTACAAGCATTGGAGATGTGTATGCATGTACACAACACAACACAGTCAGATCTGCAGAGCACATCGTGGGGGATACATGACGTCTGTTCGATATCCGGCTCCGGCGTGGCAAACATCAAGTCCGTTCCCAGCAGCGATGGAGTGATTGCCATGACGAGGTTACTATGACGATCACCAAGCTCCGCCATGCATCTGATCAGCAGGGAGAAAACCGGATAAAATTAATTAAGTCGTGGGCTAAGCCCTAACAGCCACACCTCAAATTGCACTGCTTTCTACACTTTGTGTAGAAATGTAGTGCAGAAAGCAGTGCAATTTGAGGTGTAGCTGTTAGCCTAGCACGTAATTGGTTATTAATGAAGCTGCAAGAAGCATCCTAACTCAACACGGGTAAATCAGTTGAATAAAATGACGTTGAGATGGCGCTCAAAGAATATGAAGGCGCCAAACAAGGTCTAGAAATGGTGTTGGAAACGCCGCATATGGGGATATCCGCGGAAGATAACTCAACCGGCTATTGAAGCGCTCAATGCATGCACATGCACACATGCGCGCACAGGCACACGCACACACACACGCGCGCTCACTTGTAAATGGATGTCTTGTCTGTTGGGTATCGCGTCAGGTTGGTCTGTAGTGATTTGAGACATGACTGTAGCATGCTGCATGACGACAGCTGCACCACCGTCAGCAGATCACGCACAGCATTCCGAGCCACTGGACTAGAATCCTACACACCGATTAGACAACAACAGAACAAGCAATAAGAAAAGCGACAGCAAGAAAAGTCAGACATGAACAGGCCACAAAATAGAGTGACAAGAATAGTGACGGCAACGGGTTTCTTTCTCTTCCCGTACAAGTTATCCACACATTCTCACAACACTCTAAAGTGAAAGGTTTCTACAAGTTGGATGAGTGATTATTCAACTGAACACAGAGAAAGTCTTTAGATTGCAAGCACTTTTCCTTGTGCAACTTCCTCAAATGGATGAACTTGGCTCCTCAGCAGCAAGCACTCTCGAAGTAAGGACGGGACACACACACAAATTGCAAAGTTTGCCTTGCTACAAAGTTATGCGTGTGTTTATGTGTGTGTGTGTGGGGGGGGGGGGGCTGTTGCTTCCGGTAACATCAGCCAGTGTAAAACCTTTTGACTGGCTTTCCCATCCACCCTGCACCTGAGAACTATACCCAATGTGTATGGGCATATGCAGAGGAACAGTGCATTTCTCCCCTGTCCGGACTTGTACATGTCCCCATAATTTATGTTTCTCAGAAAGGACTCTGCAGTACTCTATTGAACTTACAGACAAGCCGGAGAGAAAGGTGTCGAGCTGGTCATCACGCAGCTCCAAATGAGTCATGATCTGCTGCAGGCATGCCATTGCCGCTAGCCTGTGTGGGCACCATCAACGCACGCACACACGCGCACGGACACACGCATGCACACACGGACGTACACACACACGGACACACACACACACGTACACACAACGCAACGCATGTAGAAGGTGCACACACAGCAACATGACTAATCGACAAAAGGGTGTGCGAGTTGTACACGCTGAAGTGTTCACAGGAGAAAGGGGATAAAGAGCTCTACTCCGAATATATTTCCAAACACCCATACCAGTAAGTACACACACATGCACGTGCACATCCACTAACAGTGTCAGTGACATCTGAACATATGCTTGAGCACTGCACCGTGAATTGCATGGTGGCCATGGCCATGCAAACTCAGCTGGGCTGCACTGCTGCAGAGTGTGCCCGGGGGGCTGCTTGGCTCACAGTATGCAAAGTGCGCATTTCATTAGCCAGCATTGAATATCATCTCTCCAACACCTTTACAGCCAGCCACGGCCTACAGTCCGTGGTTGTGAAGGTGTTGGAGAGGTGCTTGATTGGCTGCAGTGGAGCCTCCGAGCACTGAAGAAAGCATTGACATACTGCAGTGTCTCGTATTAAAGCCCGTCTCATATACAAGCCTGTTCTGAATACAAGCCTGATGTTCAAGATACACACTGTCTGGGCACATAAGCCTGGTTTTAGTGTTGACACACATAGACATACCTGGTTTGAATGGAAGCCTGATGTGAATAGAAGCCTAGCCCTGACATCGGCTTCTGCAGGAATACGCCCGGCTTTAATACGCGACATTACGGTATGCACACAACTAAAGGGAGAAGAACTCACCGAACCGCTTGAATTTCATCGTTGAGCATGTCGACAATGTAGTCCACACAAAGGGCAGCAAACTTGGGACATTGCACAGCTAAGCTGGTCATCGACTCGACAGATGCCTTGCGCACCTCTGCAACAACAAGAGAGAAACACGCCCAGACAGAAATACCGACTTGGGTCAGGCAACAAGAATCAACAGGAATCTAAAGCATGGACACAGAGAAACCCCTGTGCTGATGGTGGTGATACAGAGGTGGCTTGATGGGATCATTCCTTCAGCGCATATCAGAGTGCTGCGGAACACTTTCTCCATCGAGTCCAGTGCCCATGCTTTCATGCCGGACAATACACCCATTGTGCACTGCCAAACACGGAAGGTATGAGTAATGCATGCGAGTACGCTGGGATCAGCAATGCACTGTTCAACACCCTGCACACAACCATGCCCGGGTGGTGGTGTGGGGTGCTGGTGGTACAAATTACAAATTACGTCATTGCGCAAAGGGCTTATAGACTGGGTACACTATGATGAAGTGCCTACAAACCTGCAGGACCAAATCGGTATTGCACTGCTTTAGGATTTGCAGTGTATTGAACTTACGGCAAAAGTCTCCCGAAAGCACCCATTTCGTTAGTATCGTTACTGAGATGATCAAATGCATATGGCTCAGCCTGCAGCTCGTAGCCGTACTGATGAGGCCTTTATGGCCGAAACAGCTTGCTGTCTAGAGCATTGGGTGCATATGGCTACATGCATTTTCATCCTTGAGATGCCCGTGATCGGCATCTATCCGCCTTTGGAAAATCAGTAAAAAATGATTAAAAAAATTGATAACTGTGCAGCAGCATACTCACCTAGGAACTCATCCTCCAGTCCGTGGACAAACGCTCCGCATGCCCCGTTGCTGATCAGCTGCACATTCGTAGGATCAAAGTCTTTCTGCAACAGTACAGGAACAGGGTAGAGAAAAAAAACAAGCACATCGACTCAGGTGATCGGTGCCCGGACGGATATCTTACTTCTCTGAAGTTTCGGAACGGTGAGAGCACTTTCGTTATAAATATCTTCGTTCTTCTCCCCAGTTTCCCCGCAGAAAATATTATTAACTTTACAGCTGCACATTCGGACTTCCGGCTTGAATGCGCCTCTTGTCCCTGGGTGCACTTTTCGAGTGTGAATTTCGTAATGCATGAATGACATAACACCTGTTAGACCTCGCATAACCGCACACATCCGTTTTCCATAAAAATATCCGGATTGGCGAGGGAAGCGGATAATCAAACACACATACTCTATGTATGCATGCCATATGCTGTGAATCGGCAACAAACGATTTTCGTCCGGATGGCGAGGGATCCGGATAAAAGAGGACTGGATAAGTGAGGTCTGACTATACTACTACTGCAGTATGGACTGTCTGGGCTGGTGATCTCGCTTTTTGGCAGCATTAAATTTCAGCCTGTACGGCTCCTGCCCGTATGCACTGTCATACGGCGTGGTGAAAATACAATTTTGAGCCACAAATACTGTAAACCGCTCCAATGTTTTCGTCATTAAATTCTTGCGATCTCTCAGACCCAGCGAGCATACGATGGCAAATATTCGCGGAGCACCGTGGCCACACATGTATATACACCCACTGTTGAAGTTTGATTTCACGATGGTTACTAGTTGCGTTAGCAAACACTAATACATCGCAAACATTGGGCAGTTTACGTACTGGACACGACAGGTCTGAAGCCTGTCTTGATCTTCCGTTTAGGGACCCGGTACCACATGCACTGGAGACCTGTGGATCTGGCTGCAGTGGTGTCGCAAGAGTGTGTATCACCATGGAAACTGCGAGTAGCGGAACTGCCACCATGGCGGAAAGTTCAAATCCGCTACTCCAATTTGTTTGGAGCGGGTACTCTTCTGCGGAAGTTCCGCTCCTGCGACACTCCGACACAGTGAGCGATTTGTGTTGTTGGATTTCACTTTCGATCATGAAGTGAACACTTGAGTCAGAGCAGCTACTGCTGCAGTTGTATGTTGAAGTCAAGACTCGTTTTGACAAACGAATGAAGAGAGATCCGGAGCGGTATAGTTGGATAGCCGAAAAGCTGAAGGAGTCTGACGTGGAAGCCACCCGGTAACAGGTGAAGGACAAGGTCGCAGCGATAAAAAAAAGGGTAACAAGAAGATAAAGGAGTTTGTCCTCCCCTTCACAGATAAAAAGGACTGGAGCTGCAACAGATGGAGACGAAGACTTTGACGAGATCAACTGGGAAGATGTCTCAGAAAAGCCAAATGGCCCCTGCTACGCATTTACGTTGAAATGTTCCGGGATCATCCAACCCTGGGTCTGCAGTTCGACAACGACACTGTGGATTCTGATAGCGCTGACAGTGATGCTGCTGAGGCGTGCTCTGCCGTCCCAATAGACCTGCAACCAGCGTTGGCCAGAATTTCTCTCCTGGAATAGAGCCTTTCAGATGCGCCATGGGAGAATGCAACGCACGCATTCGAGCTTGTATCTGCTGCTTCCGTTCCTCGCAGGGCTGGCTCTAGTCCGCGGCCCCATGTACCCATCCGGGTGCAAGATACCGTATCCCCAGTAATTACATACAGCCAGACAAGGATACAGCAGTGTTTACCTTGGGTATGTTTCCATCGTTCCACTTGCGGCCGGACTCCCACTCGGATATGGTCATATTGGACCGGTACCTCTCCTTCAGTTTATCATGCTCGGAGGACTTTGCCTGCAGGCAAACACAGTACACAGATAGAGTACACGCAGTGTGACACGCTATGACATTTTATGGAATTATCATCCTCCTCCCCCCTCCCCCCCCCCCCCCCATAATTTGGCCATGCTACAACATACCACTGGGGTGAAAGGTGAGTATTGAAGTATGTTCTCAGTGTCTTGTAATGTTCTTGGGGGGTTGTATGACATGGATTTCCGAGATGACATACAACGCTTGCAACGATTCCTTAGGACACGAGTGCAGACAAGACGTTGAATCAGAATGATCCCTTGAGCAATAAGTAATACAACTCCAGCAAATTAGGAACAAGAAACTAAAGATACAGAGCGGTGACATACATATTATAGATACCATGGATGAGAAGAACAAATAACAAACACAGCAAGACTCACAAGACAAAGTGAAGCAGCAGCAATTGTAACAGCACCAGTAACAGCAGCAGCGGACGTAGCAGTGGTGGTAATGTCAGTACTGGCTCCGGTCTTACCCGTAAGTGCGACATAAGCTTCTTGTCCAGAGTTTGCTGTAGGAATTCAAAGCTGACGTTGTGTAGAGAGCCCTGCCACAAAAAAAACACATACACACACACGCACACACAGACTCACACGCACACACAGACACACAGACACACACACAGACACACACACACACACATGTTGTTCCAAAGTATCTGAAGCAACCATATCATCGCTAGACGACAAAGGACAATGGTAATTAGAGAGTTCGTCATGCTGTTCCTAATAAAAGTCTGACGGTCCAACAGTTTCTTATTCCAATTCCATAAAGAAAAAAGTTCCCAATCAAATAGCATCACCAAAGGGCTCTAGTAATATTTAGGACCCCCCCCCCCCCCCCCCCCCCACACACGCACACACACGCACACACACGCACACACACACACACACACACACACACAAGCACACACATACACACACACACAAGCACACGCACACACACACGCACACACACACACACTTACTAGTAGGGCGGCCGCTTTGCTTCGCACCGGCATGGCCAAGTCATTCATCTACAAACAAACATACAACAGAGAGACAAGGTATAGTAAGTATTTGTAGTAAGGTAGCTTGACACATGACTAGCTTCGCTCTATAATCTTGTTCTGAAATGAATTGCATGTGTGGAATTATTTTGATCTCTTTGATCGAACTGTCGATTTATTTGAACTGCATTTTTCTATATATTTTCCTTTTTTGCATGCATGCACGCACACGAAAGAAAAACGGAAATCGGAAGCAGATGTTTTATCTGCTTGCGGGATGGTCACAGCGCCCGCCAATGCAAAGACCCATAGTCTTGCTTCCATCGCAAGAGAAAAACACACCATCGCAGCATTTGTCCCACACTGTTTTCAAACACGACGGACAACCCATCAAGACAATCAGACAGAGCAAAGAGCCCAGGGCAAAACACAACGGCAGCACTTAGTGTTAATGCAGAGGAATTTATTCCCGTAGCTATGCAGGAGACGTTACTTCTATTCAGTAACGTCTGGCGCTAGCCAGGGTCCACACAGCTTTAATTTGGTGTTTGTTTGTTTGTTTGTTTGTTTGTTTGTTTGTGTCACGCCTGGCGCTATCCCGTATCTGTCCCGTACCGTATCGCACAGCTGGCCATTTACTGTCTCTTTCTTTGTTATCTTTTCTTTTCTTTTCCTTCTTCTTTTTCTTTTTTCTCCTTTACGTTTACTTTATACCAGGCGTGGGCCACCCCCTGTACATAGGTGCCATCATTTTTCTTTGTTTCTTTTTGGTCATTTCAAGAAAAAAAAGAAAAAAAAGTTTAACATAATTTGCTGGCTCCCGTATCTGTCCCGTACCGTACCGTACCATCAAACACAGCTGGCTACAAACAGCTGGCCACAATATTATGTACATGTATACGATTCCTTGTGTGTTGCAACTGTGCTTGAAGGGGACGGTTGCACTTTTTGTAGCTCCATTTTATCTGAGTTTTCAGTCGTTCCTCTTACTAGTCTTGCCAAGGGGGTGGCTCTGGGTCCACCAGAGTTGCCCCTGGCGTATTTCTGAATTTGCTGGGGCGAGGGTTCCGCGACGCGGTCGCCAAGGCAGTGTCTTTTCAGTCACGACCGTTGTCGTCCTCGTCTCTCCATTCGCGGTGGTGTAGCTGACCCCCGAATGGTTTCAAACTGCGAAGCTCGGAGGAGTACAGTGGTGGCAGAGGCATGAGCTGTGAGTGGAGACGGTTGCTGGATATGGATGGTGATGCAGGGAGAAGAGTTACGCTGCCTGACGCCGCGTGGGAAATTGTTTGAACCTGCAATTTCAGTTCGAGCGCGGTGGACTTCTAGACGATGTGTCCTCATGGCTGTTTTTCAACGCTTGGCCTATCGCTGATATCCCTGCGTGGGATGTTCTTCCAGTGGAGTCCAGGTGGGACTTCGGGTGCCCACACTCCATCACCTGGTTGATTGTTTCGGAACTGCAAAAATAATTATTGTTTCCTATTTTGTGCGCATCTCTTGTCATCTCTCTTTTCTATACGTCGCACACCAGATGTACTACTATCGCCGTCTTTCTCTTGCTTTCTCTCCCTGCTTGCTGTTTTTTTGTTTCTGTTGCCACTGTCCCTCATCATACCCATGCTTGGGTGGTGGGCGGCGTGACCCGTTAGGGTAGCTGCCAATACAGTACGACTCCCTGATGTATAGAGAGACTTTCTGGAAAGAAATAGGGAGACGAGGAGGAAATGAAATTAGAATGGATGTTAGTTGCCGAATAGGTGATAGGATGCGTCAGCAAAAACATACTTTGGAAGAGAGATCCCGTCGTCTCCAAAATAGGCGTGAACGGGCGAGTCAGCGCCGGTCACAGGAAACGTCGGCATAGTGATCCCGTCGACTCCAGAACGCGCGTGCTCGGCAGAGTCAGCGCCTTCCCAGGAAACATTTCCATCAGTTCCCACAACATGCACGATGAGCTAAGTAACAAAGCATAGCGTAGGGCCCTGAGCTTCCAAGCTCTCTCGTTCCTGCCAGCAGTGCTATGCTCTCCGCAGGAGAAAATGTAATAATGCAGTGTGGTACGACAGTGATTGCGAATCGCCATGGCAACGAATCACAGAATGCAAGATTAATGTTCGACACAGGGTGCAGTCGTTCTTTCATTACCAAGAAACTGGCAAAAGAACTCAATCTGAAATCCACGGGTCGGGAAACGTTGTCCCTGGCGGGGTTTGGTGACAGTAAGCGCAAATCGCAACAGCTCAATGTGGTTGAAATTCAAGTACAGTTTTTGGACGGGTCCTCACAAACCCTCACGATCAATGTTGTGCAAACCATCTCCTGTCCGGTCAGAAAATACCCGATCGACCCTGAGAAATACCCAATGCTAAATCGGGTACATTTGGCAGACTCGCTCAGTCAGCATGCAGAAGATGTAACCATTGATTTACTGGTCGGCAATGACTACTACTTTGACGTAATGGGCAATGAGCACATTCGCCTCGGCGATGGTTTAATGCTCCTAGACTCTAAAATTGGTTTTATCCCCTCGGGGAGAATCCTGATGGAAAGCCAAGATCATGAAGCGCCCGTAATGTTGGTTTCGGCCATACGGTTACCCGAAACGAGAATGCCAAAATTTACCATCGAAAATTTCTGGAAAACTGAATCAATTGGCATTGAAGATCCCCTTGAGGATAAATCTCAAGATGAGCAAGCAATGGAGATTTTCGACAACAGCGTCGACTTCAAAAATGGGCGGTATGAGGTCAAGTGGCCACGGAAGCCAGACGCTACGGAACCACCACGCAATTTCGCTCTGGCTTTCGGTCGCCTGCAGTCTCTCACGAAACGAATGGCAGGCAAGCCACAGGTCAAACTCAAATACGATGAAACAATCAGAAATCAGGAAAAGATGGGCATAATCGAAAGGGTCCCCAATGCCGGTCCAGAAGGGACTGCGCAACGGGCACATTACTTGCCACATCATTGTGTAATCAAACCGGGTAAAACCACAACGAAAGTCCGCATCGTGTACGATGCCTCCGCCAAATCCAGCAAGGAGCAAAAAAGCCTCAGTGAATGTCTGCTCAGAGGGCCGGTCCTTCTTCCAGACTTAGCTGGTCTGCTAATTCGATTCCGAATGCATGATATTGCTATTGTTAGCGATATCGAGAAAGCCTTTCTGCAAGTTGGCCTCGCAAAGGCAGACCGAGACACAACGCGGTTCCTGTGGTGGGATGACTTGAATGGGCTTTGCACCAAGGACAATCTTGTCACATATCGGTTTTGCAGGATCCCGTTCGGGGTAATCTCCAGCCCATTCCTGCTGAGTGCAACTATCAACACGCACTTAAAATGAACAGACAACGAGATTGCGAAGATGATTCTCGGCAACACATATGTCGATAATGTTAATGTTGGAGCTAATACAATAGATGAAGCTAAACGAAATTATGATCAAACAAAGCAAGTATTTACTCAGGCGTCCATGAACCTCCGTGAATGGGCTTCGAACAATTCCGACTTCCTCTCTCACATTCCAGAAGTTGACAAAGTTTCTGAAACGGTCATGACAGTACTTGGTATGCAGTGGTGTACACCCACCGATCAGATTTCGCTGGTCGGTCATGACGTTGAGCACATGATCGTCCGGACCAAACGCTGCAGGCCGTCTCAAAGTTCTTTGACCCAATGGGCCTGCTATCTCCAATACTGTTTGTTGCAACCGAAAATCCTGATTCAAAACCTGTGTAAATTGAAATGCGACTGGGACGACATCCTCCCAACAGAAATTCTAAATAAATGGAAAGAAGTCACAGGTGATCTAAAGCAGATCCACGAAATTCTAATTCCGAGACGGATGACAGTCGCACACTCAGGGGCAGTCACATACACCCTTCACTGTTTTTGTGATGCCTCTCACACAGCATATGCAGCGTGTGTGTACCTTGCGGTTGTCGACGAGCAGTCAGGTTGTGACTCTTGTCATCTTGTGTTCAGTAAAACCCGCCTAGCCCCCATCAAGGAATTAACAATACCGAGACTAGAATTAATGGCGGCCTTGATTGGTATTCGGTCGTTACGATTTGTACTCTCACAATTGAATTTCTCGGAACAACCCAGACTGGTGCTGTGGTCTGATTCGCAATGTGTGTTACATTGGATCAAGAAACCTGAAAAACACGGTACATTTGTGGACCGGCGCTTGAATGAAATCCGGTCTCTGTCGTCGGTTGAGTACCGGTATGTAGACACAGCTGAAAACCCCGCAGACACTCCTTCTCGCGGGGCCACTGTGGACACACTGAAAAATAACAAGAACTGGTGGCACAGGCCCCAGTGGATTAACAATGAGAAAGGTTGGCCAACGGTGTTGGTGATTCCAGCGAACACCGTGGAGTTGGAGAAGTCTGCCAACACCTTACTGGCGGCGGCGGAGGGTACTACGGAGTACCCAATGATAATGAATTTGGAAAGGTATTCGTCTTGGGGAAAACTGATACGTGTCTCAGCATATGTTTTGAGAGCCATCGAATGTATGCGTGGTAATAAAATGTAATGGGTTTCTTACATCACAAGAGCTCAAGAATGCGACAATGGTTTGGCTACGACATTTGCAACGTACAGAATTTCCAGACACGCTCAAGTTAATTCAGAAAGGAAAACGAAATGATCTAGCCAACAAACTCGGCCTGTTTCTAGTTGAAAACGAAATAATGCGGTGCAAAGGACGGTTGGAAAATGTGAAAGAGGAAAGGATGCCACGCGGCACTTGGAAAATTGGGAAAATTGACAAAATACACCGGAGCAACGACAATAATGTAAGGTCAGCAACAGTTAAATTGCCAAGCGCCAAGACGCTAAGGCCACTCAATTTGCTGTACCCGATGGAACTGAATATTAATAATAACGGAAAAAACCAATGAAAAAAACGATTCGGCAAACAACGGTTCGGCGGACGGCGGCTTGGTAACAAACGACAACGGCGCTGCAGATGATGATCAGCAGCTAATCCAGAATGACGGCGGTACAGTGCACGACGGCACAGAAGTGAAAGCAAGAGGCAAGCGGCCCAAAGGAGTATGGAACAGCTAAGACAATTGATTGTGTCGGATTCAGTTTAGTTTAATTATTTGAGCATGCATGTTTGTCCTAGACCTAGGCTTACTGTTCTCGGCGGGAGTGTCGCAATATGTGCGAATGCCGGACTGTCAATATTTGAATACATGTTGCGAGTGCTATTTGAATTTACTGTATTTACAATTTGTCTTTCGTCGCACTCTTACCTAAGGTATATCCCAGGAGCGATAGGGTCCAGGTCCGCTGCCCATAGCTAACTTATAGGTATAGTAAGTATTTGTAGTAAGGTAGCTTGACACATGACTAGCTTCGCTCTATAATCTTGTTCTGAAATGAATTGCATGTGTGGAATTATTTTGATCTCTTCGATCGAACTGTCGATTTATTTGAACTGCATTTTTCTGATTTATTTATTTTCCTTTTTTGCATGCATGCACGCACGGGCAGTACTCCAGTGCAGCCGCCATATAGCGTCGATACGCGATCGCGGGATCGCTACGCGTATACGGTGCACTTCACAAACTGGCTGGCTTTTGCACGCAGCAAAATCATTATAATCTATTTCTGTGGAAAGGAAGAAGACATAATTATGGATACGAGTTTGGAGTAACTCTCCATCACTGTAACTGGTCTTAACTCGTATCCATATGTCTTCTTCCTTTCCACATTTATTTATGGCTCAACATCCGAGTTTCAAATCTATTTTTGGTTTCACATTTTTGCACACAGTACGCTGGCGCGGCATGCGTACGCTACCGTGCGAGCGAATCCTTTTTCGGAGCGCTCTCTTGTAGTGCGCCGTGTCCTTCTCTCGGTAGTTTTCTCTCTCCAAGCAGTGTTCTTTATGTGGTGAAAGAAGTAACAACGAACCAAGTCTCTCTCCCATCTTGAAATTGTCGCGGCAGCTGCTGGCCAGCTGTCCGCGACAGTGTGTGCATGATTGTACAGTAGAAAGTGAAATGTTTTACCACACAATGACTCTGAGCTCCTTAGACCTAACAAGTTATAAGCAGCAAGGTGTCCATCCGGAGATTGGGTGTAGGCACATAGATAATAATTATGTAATTATGATGTAGCCGTGAGAGAGAGAGAGAGAGAGAGAGAGAGAGAGAGAGAGAGAGAGAGAGAGAGAGAGAGAGAGAGAGAGGGAGGGAGGGAGGGAGGGAGGGAGGGAGGGAGGGAGGGAGAGAGAGAGAGAGAGAGAGAGAGAGAGAGAGAGAGAGAGAGAGAGAGAGAGAGAGAGAGAGAGAGAGAGAGAGAGAGAGAGAGAGAGAGAGAGAGAGAGCAATCCTTACCATATCGCAAATTTTGACGAATCCATCATCCAACAGCGGTAACTTCACGTCGCCACCGTCATCAACATTTACCGGCCTGTTTACACACACCGGGACGCACGTACATATGCACATACGCGCGCGCGGGCACACACAGAGATACATACACGCACACACACGCACGCACACACATGCGCGCATGCACACACACACACACACACGCACGTACGCACACACACACACACACACACACACACACGCATACACACACACACGAGCTGACACAGTCAGTGAGAAAAGCAGTAACCTTTGCAAACACCAAAAGCAGGAGAAGCCTGGACTACTAGCACCACTAACACAGCTAACAGTAACAATACACACCACAGTAGAAGTAGAAGCAACATCAGCACCACCAGCACCAGCACCAGCACCAGCACCAAGACCAGCACCAAGACCAGCACCAAGACCAGCACCAAGACCAGCACCAAGACCAACACCAACACTAGCACCAAAACCAGCACCAAAACCAGCACCAACACCAGCACCAGCACCAACACCAGCACCAGCACCAACACCAACACCAGCACCAAGACCAGCACCAAGACCAGCACCAAGACCAGCACCAAGACCAGCACCACCAGCACCACCAGCACCACCAGCACCACTATCACCACCACCAGCAGCAGCGGTGTTGAATTCGCTATACACACAGCGGAATCTGTCTAAGTCGATCGCTCATGGGGCTTCCAACATGTGGTCCCAAACGGTCCAGTGTCATTCAACAGGAGATGATATCCTGGTTCTCTGGGACAGATAATCACCTTATCAGAACTCCCCCCCGCCCCACCTGTTGAGAAGTTTTATTGCACAACACACACTATAATACGCTTACTTGTCAGGAAAGGCTTGACAATACCTCCAGACTAGCTGCATAGCCTCGGCACGTACGTCAGCATAGTCATCTACCAACACACAGGATAGCTGTTCAGCAACACAGCAACACACACACACAAACACACACACATGCACACACAAACACCAGCACACACACACACACACACGCACACACAAACACCAGCACACACACACAAGAAAGCATTTACTTTTAAACATTAACGCAAAATGCACATGTACTGGTACAGTGATGATACATTGAATTGGAGGTTTTCAGGCAGGAGGTAAGAGCAAAAGTAATGTGTGTGTGTGTGTGTGTGTGTGTGTGTGTGTGTGTGTGTGTGTGTGTGTGTGTGTGTGTGTGCGTGTGCGTGCATGTGTGTGTGGGTGTGTGTGCGCGCGTGTGTATGTGAGCACTTGTGCGTTCGTCTGTCCCTCCCCATCCTTCCATCTTCATAATATGTATATCTTACCCTTTCATACACATCCAGCTGTAATGGCATTCCTTGGTCATTCATACGAATCTGCATCCAGAACAAAAAGAAAACATCACAAAGGGTCAGGTTTAGTGCTCCAGTCAATCTGGGACTTTCACCATTGGAATCGATGCACTTTGATTAAAAGTTACGGAGTTTATTTTATTTTATTGAAGACTGACCATCCCCTTATCCGAATTGTCCCACCAACCGGACGCTCTCTGGGCCCTGCAGTCCACTGTATTGTGTTTTGTTTAGTGCTGAAACGAGTACTCTATAAGCTATCGAGCGAGTACTGTCACTATCGAGTCGAGTATCGAGTACTCTATAAGCACACATGCGCATATATGTCAGTACCACATACCCAATTTTTTGCACACCATTTATGCAATTCAATATCCTTTAATAAAAAATTTCATTGCAAAGCCACCTGGATATAGCTATATTTTATAACCGGAACAGAATATGTAACAGAGACATGTTTAGATGGCGACAGTTGATAGTTAAACGAGAGAGCTTGGAAGCTCAGGGCCCTACGCTATGCTTTTTTGCCTAGCTCATCGTACATGTTATAAGAACTCATGGAAATGTTTTTTTTCCGTTGATTGGCCACATCATTGTATTGCAAAAACGTTTCAATCAGTTTGAATATTATGAGTTAGGCAAAAGTATTTGCAGAATTTATTGCAGATTGTCATTTCTTTAATATCATCTACTTTTGGTTTACTCCTTCTTCTCTTTTTATCTCCTTATACTGTAAATCAACAAATTTTGGCCGATGAGAAACTTTGGCCGATGAGAAACGAAACTTTTCGCCGTCATTAAACTTTGGCCGATTGGAGTTTTCATAAAGAAATCGATCGGTACTTTTGCTCTCACATGCATCCATTGCTCAATCATGCATCATTATTTTGCCTCTGTGACAAACTTTGGCCTGCGATTTACTTTGGCCGGTTGGTACCAAGCGGCGAAATCAGCGAAATAAAATCGCCAGCGAAAATTAGTTGATTTTAATACAGTAATCGGATTTTCTGGCCTTTTTGTAGTAATACATGTACATTGACCTGTTGAGCCAATGACGACGCCGAATGCATGGTTGCCTGTGGAGCACATTACATAACTTTACAGTCTCCTAAAATACGTATCCTGTCCGACGGCAAAAGAGGCTGCAGATTTAGTTTTTCTGCGCGTCGACGGGATGTCTGTCCTGACGTTTCCTGGGACCGGCGCTGACTCTGCCGATCACGGGCATTCTGGACTCGACGGGTTGTCTGTCCTGACGATTCCGGGGACCGGCTTAGACTCTGCCGATCACGGGCGTTCTGGACTCGACGGGATCTCTCTTCCGACGTTTCCTGTGACCGGCGCTGAATCGCTCGTTCACGCTTATTTTGGAGACGACGGGATCTCTCTTCAAAAGTATGTTTATGCTCACGCATCCTATCACCTATTCGGCGTCTATTCTAATTTAATTTCCTCCTCGTCTCCCTATTTCTTTCCAAATCTCCCTCTACATCAGGAAGTCGTACACATAATACGACGAATATTGGTACGGTACGGGACAGATACAGGAGCCGGTACATATTGTGGACAGCTGTTATGTACAATCCTGTAGAGCCTTTGTAGTCACAGATACGGGACAGATACGGGACAGATACGGGACAGATACGGGACAGATACGGGATAGCTCCAGGCGTGACACAAACAAACAAACACACAAACAAACACCAAATTAAAGCTGTGTGGACCCTGGCTAGCGCCAGACGTTACTGAAGTAACGTCTTCTGCCTAGCTACGGGAATAAATAATAACTCAATAGCAACAATCAAGTGCACATTCTATTCATGATTCCAGCTTGCCGTCCAAATTATCATGAATCATTCATGACTGCAAGCTGGGCAGAGGCGGCATATCATCTTCAGCGGTAGGGACTAGCACCATGGCAGGTAATGCTCGTGCAATGCCTTCCTTCCTGATCCTCAGTAGGTGTGCATTGCAATGGAGGAAGATCAGTGCATCGATGCTAGTGCTCGACAACGAACAACGCCGCTTGTCCACCAGATAGCCGGCAAATGAAAAGACCCGCTCCGATGGTACGCTGGTTGCCGGAATACACAGGTAGCGCTTGGCTTGTGCAGCAAGCCGGGGAAAGCGGCTGGCGTTAGCATTCCACCACACCAACGGATCCACAGCTCGGCGGACGACCTTCTCGTTGAGGTACAATTCAACCTCTGCCTGGATCGACTCATCATTTTCGTTCTCACCTCCCAGGAGATCATCGAGAACTGACGCTGCTGAGCGAGCGTCCGGACAATGGCGTTTTGCTGAAGGTGAGGATACCTGGCACCCGTCATCGGACTGACAATCAACAGCAGCTGCACTGATCAGGGCATCCTTTACGCCAGCTCTGCATGCATTGGTCATGCACTTCAAGTCGCGAAAGCGGGGATCAAGCGCTGTGGCCATGGCATAGATACTTGTTGAACGTGTTGAGTCCAGTTCAAACCGGCGGTTGACATTGTTACCGAGTCGACTTTTGGCGGTTGTGACAAGCAGTGGCTCGTCGTCATCAGAGTTGAGGTCGTCACAGAAAGTGCAGAGGGAGGAGAGAAGAGGCAGATGCCACGACAGCGTTGAGTATTTCTCCCCACCCAGATGCTTGGTGACTTCATCGACGCAGCTCAATGCAGCCAGGAGCAACTTGGCTGTTGTCCATTCAGTGACAGTCAAATCCAGGTTCTGGCGAGCCTTGTCCGGCATGTCAGCAAGGACAAGCTGTATTGGTGTTCTCAGCTCCACCAGTCGCGCAAGCATCAGGTATGCGGAGTTCCACCTTGTGGGGCAATCCTGGATGACATGCTTCACTGATGACATCTTCAGCAAACGCTGCTTCTCCTCAAGCTGACCCGTCTTCAAGGCAGAATGACGGAAATGACCAACAAGATGTCGAGCTCTAGAGAGCAGGGTCTCCAGGTCCGTCATCTGCAGGGCATCTTTCACTGCATTCTGCAAACGGTGAGCACTACAGGCACAGCTCTCCCAACCATGGCGCTCCAGCAAGATCTTCCCAGCAAGCTCAGCGTTGGCAGCCTGGTCGTGTACAACTGCACATACTTTCTCTGCAGGGACATCAAATCGAGACACTGCGTTCATTATCTGCTCGCTGATTTTTATCCCGGTGTGCGAGCCACTGAAGTGTGTTGTTTCCAACACGCAGGACTGGAGCTCCCACTCGCCGTTTATCCAGTGTGCTGTGGTCGTCGCATACGAACGTGTTGCTTTTGATGTCCATATGTCAGTTGTCAGCGACAAGTGGTCCACCGAAGACAACAACTCTTTCACAGCGACGAGCCCGTCATCATGCTGCTTCCGAATCAAAGCGGCGATGTGAGTTGTTGACGGAATGGAGTAGCCCGGTTCTAAATAGTGCAGCAGCTCTCGTAGTCCGGCATCGTTTACGATCGAAATTGGGCGGCCATCAAGCCAAGGCCAACGCGATAACACTTCCGTGATTTCCCGCTGGCGCACAGTAGAAACGGGCCGTGACGAAGCTGGCGACGAGGTTTTCGCAAAGACAGAAATGTCTGTCTGCTTTGTTGACCGTTTAGAGTCCTTTTGTTCAGGAAGGCTTGCCGACGACGGGTGACGGTTGCTCAGATGTCGATGCAAGCTCGTTGTCGATGATCCTTTGTAGGACAACACTGCCTTGCACAAATTACACGTCGCCTGGTCCTTGGCGGCATTGCGAGTGAAGTGCTTCCACACGTTGGAGCGCGGAGATCTCTGAAACGGAGAATCCGTAAATGCCTCAGCTTCAACTAAATTTACCGCCATCTCTCTAGATACTTCACTTTGATCTCGACTTCATCGCCATCGGCATTCGCAAGTAAGTAAACAGAAAAGCGAGAGAAATACTTGTATTCAAAATAGGTCCGAGCCTACTACCATGTACTACATGCGCTTGTCAAGCGCACACGCGTATACGCTTCCTGTTCGACTTTTGCTACAGCCTACGACAGTGCAGCGCAGTAGACGAGTACAGTACTCAGTAGTGTACAAAAACTTGATCAGGTGAGTAGTAGTACTACGCGTTCGTGTGCCGGATCAGCGGACGTGTACGTCGCTATCAAGTTTTTTTTTTTTTTTTGTCGAGTATCGAGTCCTTTTTTGATATCGAGTCGAGTACTCAACGAGCGGGTACTCGAGTACTCGGCGTACTCGTTTCAGCACTAGTTTTGTTCCTGGGTTGAACAGTTCAGGTCCTACTATACCAAGTGTATAATTATGAGAAGTAAAGTACCATGAGAGCCCCCATTACCACCACCACCCCTTTCTGGTGGTATTTTGGCGATGGGGATGAGTGAGTCCAGTCTACGAAGTCCGGACGCACGCAAACCGTGTACAGGGAGGTCAAAAAGTACACACAAATGACAACAACTCACCAGGCCTCTCAGCGCTGCGGCACGCACACGCGGTTCATCGTCGTTGATGCCGGCAGCACAGTGGCGCTGGATTTCGCAGGCGGCCGACGATGTGGCCGACGCAGCCGACGAGGCAGCTGCCACGGAGGACAAGCCAGACGCAGAGGCAGCGTTCTGCATGCGCTGCTCGATGGGGGCCAGTGTGGCGAGCAGATGCAGGGCAGCTCGGCGAACAGGTGCGGCGGATGTGGGAAGGAGCTAAGTATGCAGTGCAAACACACGCACACACATACACACATACACACATACACACACATGCACACACACATGCACACACACACACACACACACACACACACACACACACAAACACAAAGTTTAAAAGTAAAAAATGGAGTACAGTCAACTTCGCTAATAACGACTGCGGATATAACGACAATTCGCGAATAACGACAGAATTTCCATGCCCAGAGCAAAGTCCCATCCCACTGTAATACATATAATGAGACTTCGGGTATAACGACACTTCGCGAATAAGGACACCTTTTTGATGCCCCACCGAGTGTCGTTATAAGCGAAGTTGACTGTATAAGGAATCTGGCCACCTGCGTCACAGACCCAGCTGAGAGAAAGAACGACCCGGGTGGGAGATGTTTGTCAACATCCTTTTGCGATGCTGAGGATCAAATGAGTGCCATTGTACCTTCCCGATCTCTACTGCAATGTATACATGGCCTTGCAGGATGCATCCAAACTCGTCTTGCCTCTCTCTCTCTCTCTCTCTCTCTCTCTCTCTCTCTCTCTCTCTCTCTCTCTCTCTCTCTCTCTCTCTCTCTCTCTCTCTCTCTCTCTCTCTCTCCCTCAGCTACAATAGCTTGTTATTTTCTCTAAATCATTATCGGCTATTTTAACATGCAACGAGGCAAAAAAAGGAAATACAATGCATCACAAAAACGTTCACAGGCACATACCTTGGTGACGATTTCCGTACACTCAAGTGCCACATCTTGACACAGCTACAAGAAAACAGATAGATACACCAAAAGAACAATATGGAAATACACCAACTTTACAATCCTTGACATGTATTTCTGACACAAGCCTAAACTAGGGACTCAACTGGTCTGAAAAATAAGTACAGTCAACTTCGCTAATAACGACTGCGGTTATAACGACAATTCGCGAATAACGACAGAATGTCCATGCCCAGAGCAAAGTCCCATCCAACTGTAATACATATAATGAGACTTCGCGAATAAGGACACTTTCTGATGCCCCGCCGAGTGTCGTTATAAGCGAAGTTGACTGTACGCATTTTTCTCCAGAGTTTGTACGGGAAAGCATGGTTGCGCGACTTGGCTCCCTTTTGCCAACTTGCGCTGGCATATGGTTGTCATGGGGTCACTTTTGAGTGCCCAGTCAGTTTGGCTAGATTATCCTGCGTCGAATGAAGGTTCTCAGAGGTTTATGCGGGGCAAAATTGGGTTTTCTACGACGTACGTGAAGATTTCGGCATCGATTTTGAAAGTGATCCCGGCTGTCCATGGGTTTTTCGATACAATATTCGTGTTCAGCGTAAAAAAAAACCTTCGGAAACAAAGGGTGGCAAGATAGCAAGGCCGAAGATCAAACAGTGCAAACGTGTTTTGTCAAGGAGATTGTCAAGGAAGTCTGCGCATTCGTAGTTCGCCGATGGATGCGTCTGAGCAGAAAGACAGCGTCAATGATCCGTTCTATCGTTGGGGATTTTTATCGTCCCCATTGCTCAGTGGAGCTCTGCCATCCCGCGAGTTCGTAGCAAGAGGAATAGTTGTGGACCTTACAAATTTGTTTGTAATAAAAATGCTGAGCTTGCAGAAGAAATAACCAGATTAGGGAAAGAGCAATTGGAAGAGGTTGTAACGATAGCTGGGACACGTTACAAGGTGTACACAGCAGGTGTGCGGAAGTGTTGCCTTGATTTGTTATCCAGGAATGTTGGCATCACCAAGGTTGAGCCCGTTGTTCGTTCAGTTGCGTCACTGTGCGAAAGATCCTTGGGCAGACTACCTAAGCGATCAACCCTAGCAGAAATGTACATTGAAGGTGCATCTCTTGCTGCACAATCACAGCTGTGTGAGGTCCTTTCATCAAGTGAGAATGTCACATTACATAGTGAGGGAACGGCAACATTTGGCCAGAAGTATTTGTCATTTCAGGTTGGCGTGGGTGAAGCCATGTATAGCTTGGGAATGCGAGAGGTTGTCTCAGGCTCAGCCCAGGCAACCCTAGATAAATATGTGCAGATCGTGGATGATATCGAGCAGGTTTCTGGCGAGAGAACGCAGCCATGAAAATCACAGCAGCATTGAAAACACTATGTCAGACTGGCATGCAGTCTAAAAGTCATCCAATGGTCTTTTGCAGCCGTGCAGGAGTCAAGTTCTACCGGCACTGGTTATTGGTTAGGCACATCTGAGGGAAGCTGAGCAGCAGTCGATGTGTAGCATGCATAACTTTTTTCGTGGTATGCACCTTGTTGTGAACATGGCAGAAACAGTTTCTGAGACCCTCAAAGTGTATGAGCACCTTCACCTTTGGAGGGAATGCAGCGGGTGCAGCTTTGCGACGTGCTAACCCTGCCTGTACCTCGAAAAAGTCCGCAGTTGTGCGCCTGGATAGAATTAGTTGCAACGCACTTGGAAAGCACGGATCGGAACAGAGCGGTTATCCGGACGCTTTCGTGGCGTAATTGTCTGCACAAGGCATCGATGACGTTCCATCGGACACTTTCCGTGGAAATCGATTCAACAGTCTCTTCCACAATGCTGCCGGATTTTTCTACCTCAATGGCCACATGCCTTCATTCTTGGAGAATATTATTCGAAAAGCCCAATCTACTGTTGCAAGCAGTTGCCGCTGATCTCAAAGAGCCTGTTTCATTGCTGGTGTCCGTGCTCTTGGTCCTCTTGATAAGCACCTTGCATCATCCTTCTGGCGTATTCTCGAAGACAAAGCTGTCTCCCTTCTGAACATGAACGACAAGTTCTACAAACTGTCTGAGTTTCTCCGTCAACCTGATGCAGCAGGCTTCATCACTGGAGAATCTGTGCCGTTTCCGGAGGTGCCCATGAAGAAGGATGCTAAACGGCTGAGTTTGGTTGCGCCCGCTAACAATGATGCGGAAACAATGTCAATATTGCAGTGCCTGTTTTCTGCCTTGCTGGTTCTCATACTCCGTTTGGTGGTGGATCACCCGCCTGGAGGCCACTTCAACAAGCCCTCGGAGCAAGTTCGCGAACAAGTTGCAAAGGTCAGCAAAACTAATACTGTCTCCGAGAGAGACTTCGCCACGCTCGACCAGTTAATTCGCGAAAACCCGAATTCACCGACAGCCGCTCTTGAAGGCATGATATTGTTTTTTAAGGCTCTAAGTTGTTGGCTTGATCATATGATGTAATGACACCCTTACTTTGTTCTTTTCATATGCTGTTGCTATGCTGTTGCTAAGGGCCCGTGAGCGGCTGGCACCAGGCCTAACATATTTCCATGATATTATTTTGGTCTTACTAGTATACCAATTCTGCTCAGCCCCACTAACTTTAAACTTACTTGTGCGTTTGCTACATCCTTTCGTTGCTGAGGTGTTGCTAAGGCTGGCACTTGCCAAGTTTTCCTATTGTTTTCCCGGAGAAAATACGGCTCACGTTTCCAGTGTATCACTAGTCATGACTCTCTTCATTTTTGACCGATTTTCAAAAATGTTTGGACCAATGGAAAGACATCAGAACCAGGAAGGTTTTGAGACTTGTCTACAAGTGGGTTTCTTGATACTGTAAAAGCCATTATTCTAACGAGGCGCATATTATAACGATTTTCCAAAATTGACCAGTTTACGTGTACCAAAAGTAACGATTCTCACTCATTCTCAACGCTCACTAGGACAGTATATGTATCGATTTCTGTATACAGTCAACTTCGCTAATAACGACTGCGGATATAACGACAATTCGCGAATAACGACAGAATTTCCATGCCCAGAGCAAAGTCCCATCCCACTAGAATACATATAATGAGACTTCGGGTATAATGACACTTCGCGGATAAGGACACCTTTTTGATGCCCCGTCGAGTGTCGTTATAAGCGAAGTTGACTGTAACGATTTCTATTTTAACGACAGATTTCTCCTCGTTAACTCGTTAGAGTTAGCACTTCGTTACTATGGCTTTTACAGTATACGAAAACAAGTTCATTCGGGCGTGACACCGAATCACAATCAGGCAATTCTATTAATTTTGCATTCGTACGGTCGCACTCACAGAAATTGTGAAGCCTTTTTTCTGGTGAGATACGATGTGCTACTTAGAAAGTGCATCCAGTATACAGAACTATTACTTGGCCTGAAGACCCACCGATGGCAGTCCAGTCCAACCGGCATGCTATCAGCTGGACTGGTTCTGGCCACCTTTCTGAGCACCCATGTTTCTTACCTCGGACGCTATCCAGTGCTGACAAATGGCAGCGAGCGACAGCAGCAACTGACACGTCACCGACGAAGTCTCTGCACAAAACACGCGCACGCAGAAGAAAACCAGCGGAAGACGTAAGATACAAATCGGTTCTTAGCTTAGATGCCAGGATGGGGTGTGGTATTGTACACAAGCAGCACAGGGGTTAGATACGCTGGGGTTGAAAAGTCAAACAACGGTACTCCAGCTCAGCCGACAGTTAGCTGGTGTACTCAGCACTGGCTTGTTGCATGTCATGCTGCCACGCCAGAGTCTGCTCTAGGATTCCAAACCAACCGGATACACCTGTCCTGTACCTGGCACAACTCTTGCAACCGGGTCAGTCCCGGGCACATTCATATGCAGCTATTGCACATCAGGGAATCTTAGGACTATCCCTGATTGAGTCTCAATCGGGTCCGAAGTGACCGGTGTTCTTTTTCCAAGCGGGTCCAAGTACCCCCAGCTTATTTTCTTTCTTCATAATTGAGTCCCAACCGGGTCAGAAGTGACCCGGTGTTCTTCTTCCAAGCGGGTCCAAGTACCCCCCCCCCCCCAACCGGGTCACTCACCCGGCTCTGGGGCAGACACTGCACGCATGCTAGCATCCAGAGGAGATGGGAGCTAGCCATCATCTTTGGATGCCAGCTCGGCAAATCGTGCATAGAATAAAAACCCAAGCAAGGCAAGAGTCTGTGTCCCCTTTCAATGCCTTGTGCATTGAATTGAGGTCCCCAGTGAAAGAGTGACGCCTGTTGAAAATACTACATTGTAGTATGCTACAGTAAGTTCGCTCCAGGGGTGTGTGTGTGAATTGGGGGATGCTAACCCCGCAATTTGAGTGGACCTCTACGAAGGCTGCACACCACATGAACCATACAATTTACTGAACTGGAATCTCAGCTGCACGTGTATATTGTATATGTCTGGCTGCAGGGTATTGTGCCTGCATACTGTATATGCACTCACCCTCTTCTGTTTTCTGCAACGAGCTGCACAGAGCGAGTGCAATCTGTCCTGCCTCGCCTGCACCCGTGGCACAAGCCAGGCGACCCAGGAGGTCCACACTTTTCTCCTTGACGATGGGGTCCTCCAGCGTGTTGAGCAGCAAGAATAGGCGTCTGGTCGCTTCTTTCACGTCATCATCGGTCAGTTCTGCCACCAGGGACTGCAATTGGACGAGTGCCCTCAATACATCCTGGCGTTTGGACAAATCCCTGAGAGTCAGAAATTGAACAGCAGGTCGGGGAGCTGCGGAGCGCAAGCGTAGCGAAGGTAAGGCAGGGATCGTGGCTGAGACAGTCACACTGCCCGTCTCGCGGACCGCCGTCATAGCTAGAAAACTGCTCAGTCAAAACATCAAGGGCAAAGTAACGAGCTATTCCAACAACATCAAGAAAAATGTGAAGAATTGTTGGCATTGAAACGAAAATGAATCAAGATAGATTTTCATTTCTTTGCATGTTTCGCATTTTTTATTTCTTCATCTTTGCACACAAAAATGACGCGCCGCGGCGCGGCCAAAGAAGTGACGCTACAGTTTTTACGCTATTTGCTATGACAACACCGGTTGCTTTGGATTTGACGTCATTGATTTTTTGTGACGTGGCGAGGGAAGATCATGATCACCGAGCTGCTCGATTTTGATTGTGAAGACTCACAAGCTTTTGTTCACGAAATCAACTGACTGGCAATTTTGGAGAAGAAACTAGATCAACTCAGTTGTTTTGAAGTGCTATTAGCTTCTTTGGGAGACGTTTGCTTCACGTATTGCACTTATATAGAGCTTCTCTTTATTGGGATCAAATATGTCGAAGGACACTCCCGATCCACTTTACGATGTGAAAACTGCTTTCTACGTTGGCAATTATCAGCAATGCATAGCAGAGGCTCAGTCATTGAAGGTAAACTGGACTGCTACGCTGTCAGTAGATAGGTAGATAGGTGTATTTTTATGCACTCTAGCGTAGCATTCTGTTCTAGTTTGGCTGTCTCATGCGATGCTTTGCCCACGCCGGAATCTGTTCGAGATTCCAAAAAGGAAGGAGCTCCATGGCAAAATGTAGTCGTTGCTGATATTGGCTTATCAGGATCACTGTTATTTTCCGGAATTTGGAAACTCAGTATAACACGCGGGGGCTTGGTGGTGGTATAGACCTTGTCACGCCGTAGTGTTCGACCTGTGGTCCAGTGTACAGCTATACCCATACCACGTTGATTCCACTGGATAAGAACATCTTGACTAATGATTATCCAGTGCTGTTGATAAGGGATGTAGGAATAGTAAGGATACTTATAACTGCCTATGCCTATATGTAATTCGAGTTTATATCGGCTAGACCCACCCGGCCCAGGTAGGCGTCCTCCTGTGCTGACAAATGCACCTTGAATCTGTGTAGAGCGCTGTGGAACCTTCTGAGCCAGACGCTGCTACGTAACGTCTTGCACAGGTCCGGGAAGGGAATCTTTTATAGATAGATACATGATTATTATTATTATCATGAGTATTATTTGAGTATTATGCTCCCTAGCAGTCAGCAATGTCGTTAGGTTGAGCACTCTTACCTTAGCGCAAACCCTTGCCGCTCGCCTTGTGCAACGCTCACTGCTCTTGGAGCATTTCGAGCACTCTTGGCGGGGTTTGCAGCTCTTTATAAAATATGCTTTTCTTCACGGAAATGTATTTCATTGCGAAGAGCTGCGCTTCGGTCCTCTGAGCTGTGCTGAGGAGCTCTAACAGAGCGAAACAGTTGCTGTCCACAGATTTGAGGATAGATGTAGATAGATACATACATAGCTAGAGAGGGGGGGGGGGGGGGGGTGGGGGGGGAGAGAGGGGGGGGGGGGGGGGGAGGAGGGGCGTGTGTGTACCTAGCACGAGTTTAATTGCATTCCCTAGCGTAACCCTCGGCCCGGTTGTGCTGTGTCACATCTATACACCTGCAGGCTGCTGACGCTCCCACAGCCGTGCGACGTGATGTCTACCTCTACCGTGCATACTTGGCTCAGGTAGGTGACCCATGGCTGATTCCATCTTCCATACATAATCTGCTATGTTTGTTTGTGTAGCTTTATTTTACTTCACCATAAGCACAGGCAAAATCTGCCTTCTAGCTGGGCGCATTGCCACAGTTCTCGCAAAATGATGAGGATAAATATGTAGGGTGTTACCGTGTGGCAACTGATGCGGCTTTTTCCAAATCGCTTTTGAAGTAAATAACCATAGTGTAGTGTGGTAGTGAAGGAGAGTACATGTAGATAATACCGGTACAGAGATGAACTTATCCGGTGGCGCATTGCAGTTTGCAGTGTAAATCGATTGCACGTTGTGCAGTCAACCTGTACACAGTTTTCCTTGGAGCGGATCGAAGATCCACACAAGAACATGCGAAGCGTGGCCTTAGTACGCTAAAGTTCTCACACTGTACAAACTGTCTTGCACTCTGCCATACGATTTACCTTTCCCTGGCTGTAAAATCTAGGTGAGCCCTCTTGCGAGATGTGGGGTTGCAGCATCTAGGGAGACAGCACGAGATTATAGTGCCGAGAACGACTTGAGCTTTGACCCGGAAGTTCCGCATTGATCCCTGCAGGTCTATGCTTCCTTGCTTTCGGTGTGTACAAGGTCCATTTTCAGCCATGTGTGTGTGTGCGTGTGCGTGTGTGTGTGTGTGTGTGTGTGTGTGTGTGTGCATGCGTACGTGAGCGCGTATCTGTGTGTTTGTACATGCGCGGCATTATTCTCTGTGCCGACGATCTACAGAGGAACTATGCTGTCGTGTTGGACGAAGTAACGCGGAGCTCTGCGGCGGAGGTGCAGGCCGTACGCCAGCTCGCTCAGTACCTACATAGCCCATCGAAAAGGTACGAGATGCACCACCTCGCCTGCTGACCTCTCACCCAATTCAGAGGCGTAATTGTTGTTGTTGTAGTAAAAAAGGAGAAGGACGAAATGTTATGAGTTATGACTAACTGTCCACCAGCGTAACCAGATCATAATTATACAGTCAGCGAGTGCGACGAAATGGCACAAAACAGACAAGGAGTACTAAGACTGTTGTTGTTGGGTATATTTATAGTGGGAATCACAACAGACACAAGCCTAATAGCAATGGACCCAAGTGTGGGAATCACCAAAAATACTGACAAGGAGTACTAAGACTGTGTTGTTGTTGGGTATATTTATAGTGGGAATCACAACGGACACAAGCCTAATAGCAATGGACCCAAGTGTGGGAATCACCAAAAATACTGGGACTTAGTGTGGCTTCTCCTTTGTGTGTGCTGATCTGTGTTCCTTGAAGCTCATGGCTTGTGAACCCAAGCGATTCTTTGTGAAAAGCTCTTTTTCAAACTGGGAAGCAGATAGCGCTAGCCCAACTGATAAACTATCGGTTGGGCTATTTATCAGTTGGGCTGGGGCACCGTTGGGAGGAGGGAGAGAGAAAGAGAGACAGACAGACAGACAGAGAGTCAGGCATGTGTGAATGCTAGTGTGAACGGAAGGAAATGTCGAAACATGATGTCGAATGCTTTTGAGTTTGATGTACATGTACTCATGGCAACTTTGCCACTACTGCTGCTTTAGGGTTTAACGTCGGGCCCTAGATGACGGCTGCAATGGCAACCCGGACAACAAAGAAGTTGAGGCCAAGATTTATTTCTTGCCCATTCTTTTGTGTAGATGTGACGTAACAGTGAGAGTCAGGCTGCTACAGTACTCCCCCCCCCCCCCCCCCCCCCCCCCCCCCAGTGGTGAGGTGTGGAGGAGCGATGCGCGATAGACAAGAAAAAAAGAGAGAAAGGAAGCGTGGCATGTACAAGGCGGAAAGGCAATAACTAATTATTAGTATGATACATTATGTACAAGAGAGCGCTGCGTGTATGAAATTTGTTTGTGACGTGGCAACAAAGGCCGAAACAAAAGTAAAAAAAATGCAGGAAGCGGAAAAGAGAGATGCACGACAGAGGCGGGTTAACGTGTCACAGGTGTATTAACGTGACGGAGGTGGAGAGCATGTCAGAGGCAGAGAAAACGTATGAAATGTACGCGTGACAGAGGAGTATTATTGTGTCAGAGGCGGCTGCATGTTGCAGGCTTTGCAGGGTACCAGCTACTGAGTACAAATACTGCACTGAGGCGAGGCGTGCCGAGTGAAGCGGGGACGGGTGGAGGCGTGCGCAGCTCCACTGAGTCCGGTGTCGGGCGTGTGCGTGCGTGCACGAGAACTGATTCGTCGAGTGGAGGTGACTACTTGAAAATTCGACTTGCTAATGCTCCGTGTTGTGACATGTTACATGGAAGAGTAAGGTATGTCTTGTGCACCAGTTTGACAAAAGCTTAATATCCTTATGATGACATACCAACACGGGTTCGGCCGCCAAGGGATTCATAAAATGCAACGGTAGACAGCCGTAACATTACATGAAAAAGGAGCAAGACTAGCCTGATTGACGCTGATATAAAGAAAGTAAATATTTTACCATTTTGACGACTGTCATTTTCAGAACGTACACCAGTGAGTGACATTCTGCGGCTCTGGGCCCTGCACTTTGACTTTTCACCCCTGTGCTACGGAGAAGCGTAGCCTGTTTTCTTGCCTGTTGACGTTGTCGTCGCCATATCACAAGCCCTTTGTTCTGTTCTGTTTGCATTTTGTTTTTGTGTGACAGGAACAGTGTTCTGGAGGACATTGAGGGTCAACTCAAGGCAGGTGTTGATACCACCAGTGACACCATGTTTATTGTCGCGGCCGCCATCTATGCCCACAGAAAGGTGCGCACTCCTGCTGCCTGACGTTGTGTGTGTGTGTGTGTGTGTGTGTGTGTGTGTGTGTGTGTGTGTGTGTGTGTGTGTGTGTGTGCGTGCGTGTGTGTGGTGCGTGTGCGTGCATGTTTGTATTTGTATTTATGGATTCTCCACAGGCCATGCCTGCATGTCTGTGTGACTGTGTGTCTGTGTCTATGCATGCAGAAAACCTGTGGGTGCTCATCCAGTGCATTTGCAGATTTGCGTGCTTCTCTTGCGACGGGCGTATACATGGTACATGGTACATGGTACATGGTACATGGTACATGGTACATGGTACATGGTACATGGTACATGGTACATGGTACATGGTACATGGTACATGGTCTATGCACATATATGATGGTTTGTTTCTGTCTGCTTCTATTGCCCAGGACTATGGCACTGCACTGAAGACTCTGCACCAAACCCAATCTCTTGAATGGTAAGCTACCTCCCCAGTATGTTTACCTTGGAGCAGTCATAGTTGGTGTTTACACATGCACTGCTGCCATTGGGGACATTCGGAGGACGTTTGAACAGCCTGAAATGTGACATGTTTGTCACGTGGCTTCAGAAAGTTTGCAAGCATAACAGTGGCTGTATCCTACTCACGACCAAAAAGCCTCAAAGTGTGCCAGTAACAGTTATTCTGAAAAAAAAAAAAGAAAAAAAAACAGAGCCACTACTTGTAGGTTTCCTTTGCGCTTGTACAGTGCTAGTATCTGAATGAGTGATGTCTGTCTGTTCAGTGTTTTCATTTCCATTGTCTTTACCTTTACACTCACACACCTTTGTGTTTTCATTGTGTGTGTGTTCCTTTGTACGCGCGTGTGTGCGTGGGTGTGTGCGCGCGTGTGTATGTGTGTGTGCGTGTGTGCGCGCGCGTGTGTGTGTGTGTGTGTGTGTGTGTGTGTGTGTGTGTGTGTGTTTGTACATGCGTTTGTGCTAACAGCTCAGCTCTCACTGTGCAGTACCTGCTGGCTATTGACTGCGTTTCTGCTGCTGTGTAAGGACGCTTGCTATGTTTAGGTTAAACATTTCACTTGAAGATACCAGTGCGGCTGGTGTCTGCTGTCATTATAGCTACATTCGGTCTGCACTGGCGGGTTGTTGACAATTGTCTGTGTTGACCGTTCTATCCTGACATACTTCTTGTGGAGTAGACCAGGTGTGTGTAGGGAGTGTCGATTCACATGGCTTTACTCATTGCTAGTACTGTTCCTGTGGATTGGACAGGATAAAGAAAGCTTTAGCAACTTTAACTAAAAAAAACAAGGGCAAAATGGGCTACTGACTCATTTTCGTGCCCCGAATCAGGCCCATCTGACTGGGTTTGTCGTGTGTTTGACAATATCCTTCGGATGTGTTGGACACGTTCGTCCCATCTCGGACCCGTTATGAACTCGCTTTCGCGGTCGCTTTACGAATTGCTCAACCTCTCTGGTGCATTGTACTACTGCTGCGGACATTGAAATCCGACGGGACGACCGGGGCCGCCGTCCTTACTGCTTTCAGCGCATACTACAGTCCTGCATTTCAAAACTATAGACGCGTACATAGGCAAAAACCTTTATCCCGGCATCTATACCACATAAAATCTGTGATCACTTTGTGCATAATTTTTTCCAAAATTGGGCGTCTGTTATCCAATCGTTTAGAAATTATATGAGAGTAATTGTGGAGCAGACCTGAGCTATATTCCGAAAACTTTTCTCAAAAAGCTCCAGCCAAGTTTGAAATATTTCAAAAACACTGCGCGTCTATAGTTTTGAAATGGACTGTAGTACATGCACTACTGTATGTCACGTACACACTGTAGTAAAAATGGATCAGCAGTGCCCGCGGCTGCAAGGCCAGCGCCCCGTGGCCGCTTGACTTCTCAGCGGATTTCAAATTTTTCAATGTCCGCTACAGTAATTTGATCTGTCTGCACCAGGAGGTGACAGTGGGTATTTTAGCCTCTCTATGTGTATTAAACTCATCGCTCATCATTTTCATACGGTATTGTCCGTGTGTCCGTGTGCTCTTGGTTTTGCAGAGCGGAGGTCAAGAGAATGATGGTTAGTTTTGCTTACCTGACTGCAGTATATTGTGTGTGCGTGTGTGTGTGCATGTGCGCATGTGTGCATGCCCATTTGTTTTGTATTGGTGGCAACTTGCTTTGAATTGCTTATTTTTAACCCACAACTGACGCGGTGGCTGTTGTAATGGTGATGTGTGTGGGGGGGGGGGGGGTGTTCCTGTGTTCTTTCTCATACCTCACATCAGCCATAACAAGTGCAGGGTTGGCTGCGGGCAGCCATATTAAATTATTCTTCAAGGGTAATATCGATAAAATTGTATGGAATAGGAAGGTACTAATCCCTAACCAGTAACAACAACAGCAAAAACGAAAAAACAAAACAAGACTGCCAACAGCTGGCACCGCACACCGTAATTCTATTAGTAAGGCAAACACAAGGGCGGGTGGGTGGGCCCTTGCAATGCAAGACAAACAAGAGACTGATTCAAACTGTGCAAGCGCTTTTTCGCGCTTGCGGGACCTTCTGTGTCATTACCATGACACCAGCATCAAAAATAAAATAGAAAAACACAAAACAGAAAACACGCATTGCAGATGTTCGTCATTCGAAAGAAGATATTGTTCACCACCGTGAACAATATCGGTCGATTTTCTTTGTGCTCATGCTGGCAAAACAATCTACGGTATGTGGACCCCATTTGTCGTCCAGCCAAAAAATAACTGGATTGATACTCCAGTCATCAGCATCCACAACTTTGGAAAAATAATCAGCGAGCTCATTTTCCTCGCGAGGCACCCACTCCGCCACAAGCTGGATGCCGTGCTGTTGGCAAACCGTATGGATTGATAGAGCCACTTCCTGCAAATGTTTGTGCCTACTTGAACAAGTACTACCATTAATGAGGATATGCACAGCAGCCTGGTTATCACTGCGATGAATACAAGTGCAGCATTCAATAGCAAATGCCAGGGACTCCAGAACCAATGCTGTTCCATGCCTAGAATTTCAACTCTCTGAACAGGTGTCCAACAGCATTTTTTTTGGATGAGGGGTGAAGCCTGCTGAAATTAAGTCAGCCCGCATTTTCTCTGAGACCTCCACAGCACCTTGATACGACTCGTGCCCCCCCCCCCCCCCCCCAGTCCCGTCATCCATATACAGTTGGCAACGAATACCCTGTCGTCTCCAATGAGACAGTAACGGCTTCGTCAATTTCGTAAAAATGTACGGTGCAGTGGAGAGACCAAAGGGTAGCACGCGAAATTCAAATGCTTTGAAATGACTGCCAATTTTGCAACAAAATGCAAGATATCTGCGATGTTCTTCCGCGATTTCAATGTGGTGATAACCGCTTTTCAAGTCAAAAATAACTACATAGTCACCACTCCTGAAAACATCGAGAACGGTTTTGATATCTTCCAGTTTATTTTTGCCATTATCCACCACTCCCAAAGGGCTATACACTACGGAGTTGCTCGTTTCCCTCACACAGCCAATGCGCAAGAGGTCGAGAACCTCCTCCTGTACAAATTTCTCATGCTCGATCGCGCTACTGTGGTTCCTCAACTGCCTAGTAGCTGGACAGCACTTGAACGGCAGCACATACTCTTTCATGATTACATTCAGAATCAATCTGTTTCCAAAACTCCACATTTCTGGCCAAATTGCCCACCACTACATCAGTCAGCCCTGCCCCTTCCCCTTCCTCTTCTTTCATTAACTGAGCAACGAGATAGTTTGAAAACTCATTTTCCACATCATCATCATCATCATCATCATCATTCAAAACAACACCGTGAAACTTAGCTTTTTGCGTTATGTAATTTTTGTCAGAAGCGGCCGAAGTGCCCGGCTTCACCACAGTGGTGGCACACTGAGGTAGACTGCCGGGTTGCTGGCCTGCCGGGGGGCGGTGGCACCGCGGCTGCTGCGGCCTGGCTAGGTTGCTGGCCAGCACTCCAAGAGCCGGCTGATCTTGGAGCGCTGGTGGTCCGAAAAGGCGGCTGCTTGGCCTTCACCATCGCCGGGGCCTGGCTGATCTTGGAGCGCTGGTGGTCCGAAAAGGCGGCTGCTTGGCCTTCACCATCGCCGGGGCCTTCGCACTCGTCCGTGACGCTTCCAACGCCATCCGGAGGCGCTTCCTTTTGCCGGAGTCGGACAGCAGCTCTGTCAGGTCGTCACCCTCAGCATATCTGGTGGCGGTGTCGTGCCCGTGGTGGTCCGCGATTACCAGCCACTCCAACCTATCCTCCAAGTTGGCATGCGCCTTGGCGATAATCTTCAGCGCCTTCTTGGCCTTGCCAGCTTTCACGTACTTTTTTGCCTGGTCAAGGCGATCAGCTACCATAGTAATGTAGTCATATTGGTGCTGATAACTGGTCCGGTTCAGCCTCTTACAGGGTACTGGCTTCTCGCGTTTCCTCGCCGAGGACTTGACTGATTTCCTCCTCTTCCCCAGGACGCGCTCTGGCGACGATGAGGAGTCGGATGATGACGAAGATCTGGACGATGACGACGACGTTGAGGAAGAGGGGGAGGCCGACCGGCGGCGTTTCTCCCCTTTTAGCCAAAGGACCTGGCGTTCCAGCAAGCGCATCCTCAACTCCACCTCGTCCTGCAAGGGGATCTCCGTGCTTGCTGACTTTGACCTTGGCATGGACCTGGACCTCACGCTTGGTGCCATGATGAAAAACTAACTAACTTGAAAGATGTAGAAAAGAGAAGAAACACATGAGAACGAGTTATGCAGCAACTATCCACGACTGTAACAAGATGATAAACGGTCAGAACCTTCCAAGTTGGAAGGCTGTTGGTTTGCGCACTGGAGATGTGTTAGAGCTAGGTCTCGGGCCGCTGCATGTCTCAGTAGCCTGTCAGTGTTGTGCCCTATTATCGCACTTTCTGACCGTTTATCATCTTGTTACAGTCGTGGATAGTTGCTGCATAACTCGTTCTCGTGTGTTTCTTCTCTTTTCTACATTTTATAACTGGCTCAGTATCCGAGTTTAACTTGAAAGATTTTTTTTAACGAAATAAACTTCAGCAGTACCCTTGCAATGCAAGACAAAAAAGAGACTGATTCAACCTGTGCAAGTTTCGCGCTTGCGCGACCTTCTGTGTCATTACCATGACACCAGCATCAAAAATAAAATAAAATAGAAAAACACAACAACAACATAACAGAAAACACGCATCGCAGATGTTCGTCATTCGAAAGAACAATGCTTCTCGTTTATTTCAAATTCAGCCAACGAGAAGCGTACACTTTGCTTCTAAACATCGATGGGCAGTTTAAACATCTTTGCTGATGATGAATGTGCAGTTTTTACCCTGACTGCCTTCGCTATCAATACTCTATTTCGTGTTTTGTTTTTGTTCTGTGTGACAGGATGAGGATGAGTACTTTGTTCTCACTCAGTTTGCACAAGCATGGGTACACATGTCAGTGGTAAGTTTAGAAGGAGCCTAGCAAGCACATCATCATCTCTTGCAGTTTCGGAAGCCCACATCTCGCGAGATTAGTTACCATGTCTCGCTTCCCTCCTGTGCCTTTGTTGCTTATCGTGTTCATGTTCGTATTCAATTTGTTTTGTCCATGCTTTTTTTGACTTTTTTTGTTTTACTCGTTTTTGGGAACACAGCTCCATGCTGTGTGATCAGTCGTGTTGAGAGCAAGCACATCATTGTGTATCCTGCTTCTGTCCATGCTGGCTTGGTTGTAAGCCAGGAGAGACACAGGCCGTTTTGTGTCTGGACTGTCAACTGCCTTGGGCTATCTTTTCCAGCCGTGTTTGTAGTTTTGAGTAAACTACTTTAGGCTCCTTGATTGGCCTGCCTGTTGACATTACTGCTGCTGGTGATGGTGACGGTGCCTGCTGCTGCTCCTGCTGCTGCTCCTGTTGTTGTTGTTGTTGTTGCTGTTGCTGTTGTTGTTGTTGTTTCAAATCTTTATTCTCACGATTGTTGTTGTTGTTGTCGTCGTCGTTGTTGTCGTGTCCAGGGCGGTGCTAAGATCCAGGATGCATTTTACATCTTCCAGGAGGCCATTGATCGTCATGGAACGACTGCCTACCTTCTCTCAAATCAGGTCTGTGTTTGTACTGGATCCTTTCTGCCTGCGCGCGTGTGTGTGTGCGTGTGTGTGTGCGTGTGTGTGTGCGTGGGTGAGTGTACTGTGTATGTGTGTGGGTGTGTGTGTGTTTGGGTGTGTGTGCACATGTGCCTTATTTTTCAATATTTTTGTCACCTGAGAAGCCATCTCACATCTCAGGGCCGATTCACTTTCTATGTGTTATCCATGCTGACTGTACTATCCCTATTGGTGGTGGTGTTGTTCTCTGGTGTTCTGCGTTGTGTCATGTGACCACTGACAGGCTGCGTGCAAGATTCACGAAGGCCAGTATGAAGACGCTACGGGACTCTTACAAGATGCCCTGGAGAAGGTATGGCTGCAAAGTCCAATGACAGTGATAAACTGAAGTCCACGTCGTGTTTGATCAATGCCGGCGTTGCTCCATCCGAAAGTGCATTGCTGGCAGTAACTACATTGTACAGTTATGCTCGGTGAAATGCGACCCGAAGTGCACGTGTGGCACCCTCAACTAGCACACGGCCCTTGGTATCCTGGAAGTGATACGACTGGGACAGAATGCACACGTCTTCAAGTACAGTGATGTGCAGTCAACTTTGCGTATAACGACACTCGGCGGGGCATCAGAAAAGCGTCCTTTTTTCGCGAAGAGTCCTTGTACCCGAAGTCTCATTATATGTATACAGGTTGGATGGGACTCTGCTCTGGGCATGGAAATTCTGTTATTCGCGAATTGTCGTTATATCCGCAGTCGTTATTAGCCAAGTTGACTGTAATCGGAACTGGTCCAGGGTGCCAGTTTGGCACCTTAGGTCGGATGTCAGTGATCGCAACTGGAGATGTTCATTTGCCTGAGTAAAGCAGTGACGAACACTGGCACTGCACAGCTCTACCAAACGTGTTGGTAAAACGGCTCCACTGCAGCCAGCCACTTCTGTACACTGAAAACCATACACGGATTTTCTCAATCAAATTTTCGGCCAACAGCCATCGTCAGGATGGGATTGTGTGTATAGGGTTTTCCGTGAAACTTGTCGTTGTTTATTCCAACACGACACTGCCCCGTTTGCTCTCTCTCTCTCTCTCTCTCTCTCTCTCTCTCTCTCTCTCTCTCTCTCTCTCTCTCTCTCTCCCTCGTTCTTTCCATCTCCGTTACATTGATGATTTGTTGGTACCCTTTTTCTAATATTGGAATGATGTAACTTTTATGCTTTTCCAGGATTCCAATTCTCCCGAAGTGCTTGTCAATCTTATCGTGGTGAGCAGTAAGATGGGAAAACCAGTTGAGGTGACCCGACGCTACATCTCACAGATGAAAGACACGCATCCCGACCATTATTATACCGTAGAATATCTTGAGAAGGTAAGTCTGTGTATGAGTGTGTAAGCAAAGGTGTACATGTATGTGTGTATATGGGGGGGGGGGGGGTTGGAGAGTCAAGCTCCCACGATCCACATTCTACCATGAGTGATGCGTGCGGGCAAGAGTACATGAAATCCAGAGTGTGCCTCTCGGATGGGTTGCTATCAGGGCGAAATGCCGTGAACACATCATTTTAGTGATGTAACTTAGTGCGTACAAGCAGGATTCAAGCCGGTCTCTTTGTGCACAACTGCAGCCCAGTTGCATGCACTACGCCACTCCCCGCCTCAGAACTGCACCAAATATGTGGTGTAATCGTGGAATTTCGCAGTAACAGACACCCATGCAGAAAAGTCCGAAGCTGCACGCTCTGGGTTTCATCTACATGTACAGTATAAAACCTGTGACCAGCGACACCCCCTTGGGGCCAGAGAAAGCGGTCTTTAGTGGCAGGTGGTCCTTAGTCGAGGACGTGGGCAGTCATTCCCGCGATGTCCAGGCCTCAAGCAGCGGTAGCACACGTTGAAGTGCTTGGCCTTCTGCCATCGTGCAGACACTGGCAGCCGCCTGAACGCCTGACACTGCCAAAGGCCATGGCCCCCGCGGCACCCAATGCAGCTGCTGCTCGAGTGTTGACTCTGGCCTTGACTGCTGGTCTGCGACACGTGGTAGGTGCGTGGTCGCCGCTTGTCCTCCGTGTATAATTTACTAACTGGTTTCGTGGCGGCAGAAACACCGTCCGCAATCTCGGCCGCGCGTACCGCAAACTCCGCCTCTTGTCCAACCCACTCCTGAAGTGACTGGACAGACAGGGCTTTTGCCAAGGTGTGCCGCCAGCGGTTGTACATGGTCAGCATCGACGACGGCAACTTCGCCTGCAGCCGCTGGTACAGCAGCCCGTTGCCTAACTCGTGCAGCGAGAGCTGGCGTTCTTCGCCGCCAAACTTGCGTTCCATCCGATTGAGGGCCGCATAGTACGCTGCTGGTGTATAGCCCAGACACTCGATGGACTTGAGGGCATCTCCGGCCAAATACTGCCGCAGGTGCCATAGCTTCAGCTGGGCACTAGCTGTCGAGTTACCTACGCAGGCCATGAATGCTGCTCTCCACGCCCGGTAGGCCTTCTTATCACCGCTGAATATCGGGATCCGGATGGACTTTAGCTTCTGGTGCACGTCATCCGCCGCCGCAGGGCGTGGTGCAGTCGGATTGTTCGACGAGGATTGCGATGCCGTAGCCGGCACAGGCCACGCTACAGACATGACGTCAGTTGCCTGACCAGGAGCCGACACAGGCTGCGAGGTAACACTTTGCTGTTGCAACGCTGTGGCTGCGTTCAGCTGACCCAACACACTCGAAGATGGCGTAAATGCTGCCATGTGTGGGGAAAGTGTCTGGTGCACTGTCTGGTTTGAGCTGGCGAAAGCAGTGCTTTGAATATTAGCACTGGTCATGCTGGACACAGGCACCCCTGACTGCTGGTAGGACTGTGGAGTGATGGTAGTAGGAAATGTCTGTACTGCTGTTCCATCATTAGTGGTGGTGGTCTTTGTCACAGGTGCACTTCCATACATACTGGTGCTGACAGTGGAGGTGGGGTCCAATCCAGTGGCGCTGGCATGAGCAGTACTGGTCTGAGCAGCACTGCTACACGCTTGTGCACTCCCAGTCTGGCATGAATCAGTACTGACACTAACACCGATTGTGTCGCCCTGTGACGTTGGAGCCTGGGTGTATCCGCGACCCAGCGACGCTTCCAGTGTATACGATTGTTCTGGAAACTTGTGGTAGTCCATGCTGCTCTCTGGCATCCCGCCATCAGGTCTTCCGTACTGGCCATAGCTGCGGGTTGAGTAGAAGTGCGGGCGCAGGGTAAAATCTTCTTGCGCCAATCGCGGATCAGACACTCCAGCGTCCCGCTCCACAAACTTGTCGAACTCGGTCGTCAATTTCTGCATCTCTGCCTCCAATTTTTCCATCTCCATCAACACCTGCTCCTCTCCTGCTAAATCTTGCTGCTCGCTGAGCAAGCCTTGCAGGTCCAACAAATGACTATTCAACTCTGATTCAGCTCGTTCCAATTCTTCAAATAGCTCCCGTTCTCCTGCTGCGTCGACCTCGTGGTCACGAAGCGCAACATGCATGACACGTCTCGCGTTCGTGAAAACTCAGTTTTTTCTGCATCTTTTCGGACTTCGTCTTCAACACCATTCTCCTTCTCTGGTGCTCTCCAGAGTTAGCTGAATGCGAGGATACTCCCAAAGTGGTGTCCTGCAACTCGACGGCTTCGGACTCACGACCTTGTTGGACGTAGCCGTCCGCCCCATATTCGCTTTCTTTATCCGACATGACTAGCAAACCATCCTCTGCTACCAATTGTTCCGTATGAACAGAGCAAGGACTTCGTGCGCAGCGGAAATACACTAAGAGAGTACACGAAATGTCGGAAGAATGGCTTGCACTTTTTCAGAGAACACAAAAGGAAATATTATCCATTCGACTCTGGGAAAAACCTGGCCCAGAGACAAGCAAAACAGCCAACTAAAAAGGCAACTGCAAAGCGCTCGGCAAATCAGCAAAACTCAGGTTGTGAACTGAAGTGAGCGCGCGCGCACCCATGCACGTGGCACACGTACCGTGCATGCCATGCACGTGCGCTCGTGCACAGCAACAAATGTATCATGAACAAGAAAACCAGTGCCAACTCCGCGGCCGCTTCAAAAGACAGAACCACTTGTAAATAGCTATAGCACGTACACAAAGATGACCCCAAACAGTTCTGATTACAAGAGGGAACGTACACATGAATAAGCAAGAAGAGAAGGAGACTGATTCCCTGTTGAACAGTACTCTTTATTGTGGGGGTTGTGGGATGCTGCTGCTGCTGGCGTGAAATCTCCCTACATGTATCTCTCCGTACTGTACTATTGTGTGCCACTCGGAGCTCGCCCCTGGACATGATCTGTTGATGTTCAACGTGTGACTGATCGCTGCTTTGTAGTTGCCTCACTGATCTCTCGCTGTGTTCTGTTTGCTGCTCAGGATGATGCATTTGATCGGCTAGCAAATAATTTCAGTGCCAAGGTCTCCACGTAAGCACGGCCTACACGCCACGTGTCCACTGCAAGGTCACGTTGACTAGTGACAGCAGCGTGTCCTTATGACCCCCATCTGAAATCGCCTACGAGCGCCACGACCACTCTGTGTATATTGCCATGCACCGCGCCAACCACCGACGCGATGTGGCCACGTGTCTACACGTGTACATGCTCTGGAAGCGCATGCCTGGCTGCCGCGCGGCCCGTAGTGGCTTTGTTTTCGCTTGCGCGCTGGCCCATGCCTAGTTCCTTTGCTCTATATCCCGCTGAATTCCGCCACGCTATGACCGTAATCGTGTAACATCTAGCATGACGTTTGTGCCCGTCCATCTTTTTTTCTTTTTTGTTCTCGTGCTACTGACAATACCATTCTTCTCGCTATGTTTCCCTGTGTACAGTAAGTCTCTCTTCCCCCGATGATTGTCCACCCTGAGTTGTATGCATGCACTCGCTCTGTGATCAGTTGTAACTGCCCGTGTGTTTTTTTTAGTTCACTTGTATTAAAGCTGTAATGCATAATTATTTTTTTTGAGCATAACAAACCAGCGAGTTGTAAACTACCGGTATTTTACGACTCGCTGATATAAACATTGCAGCGGTGCTGTTCTGTGTGGTGACGGCGCGCTTGGTCGACTGCGTCACAGAGATAGGGCTTGAAAGTGATGACGTCAAAAACGGCCTGGGAGTAGTAAATTGACATCAGATTTCTATTTTGGATCCACTAAGGTGTGACTTTGCTATTGCCTCAGTATGTGGGTGCATAGCAACCCACTCATGTCGTATGCAGGTGCAACTTTTACTTCGCCACCAGTTGTCACCCCGCCCCCACTAGCCAAATCAGTCAGTTTCACTGGCAACATCACCTTGCTGTGAGTGAGACCGCTTGAAATGTGCTTGGATCCATACAAAAACTGGATCCAGTTTTCGAATTTTTCAAATTGTTGCTATGCCATTGCTATGGAGTGACGTAGCACTTTCAAGCCCTATTCTCCAGAGTAGATCTACTACGACTCACTGAGTCTGAGTAGATCTAATAGCAAGAGTACATACCCAGGAGTGTGCAACTCCTATCTTGATCTGTGATGGGTTCGCCCACGGTGGAATTTGTTTATCTTGTCATTCTATTCTTTGGCAGAAGTATGATCGAGTGTGTATGCTTTCCCGCACTTGTTTCGTGGATACTGTGGCAGTTCATCAGGCTCAGAACACGCCGATCTATCGTCGAGAGTCGCACACTCTTGGTGCACACTCTTGGTTGTGTTAGTCGGGGCAGGGAGTCGTACAACTCCTGCACTGAGACCCCAGAGTCCCTGGCACAGGGTTTGTACGATTCGAATGATTCTCTGGTCTGAGGGGCCGTTTACATGAGGAAAATAAGCCCGGGCTTATTCGCCTCGGGCTTATTTTTCAACCGTTTACACGACGGTTAACCCCCGGTTGTACGGGGCTGAGTTCAGGTGAGTGACTGCGAGTTCTGCGCGCATTTTTTTTTCAAATCGCACATGAACGCAGTGGTAAATGTTCGTGTTTGATGAATTTTGGATCAAGAAATGCCGGCTCAGGTTTCTACCGCCTTTCCAATTGTCACTTATTTTTCGAGAAGGTGAAGGATGGGCTAGGACCTTCCACTGGACAAAAACCAGAAGAAAACATACCAAGAAATAAATAAAAGAGACGCACTGTCCACGACCACATTCTCTCAGGTTCACGAGGCAAAATCGAAAAATACGGAAAAACTCGCTTATAAGCCCTTCTTGACCGTTTACATGACAAAATAAGCCCTGGGGGTTGGATAAGCTCGGGGGTCAAGGGTAGGGCTAGTTCAGCTCGGGGCGAGCTGAATAAGCCCGCCTGACCATGTAAACCATGGTAAACGCGCGCTCTAAAATGACTGGGTGACTGATCAAGGCGGGCTTATCGTGAGCCTAGGGTTGAATAAGCCCGGGCTTATTTTTCTCATGTAAACGGCCCCTGAGAAAGCTAAGACACAGCCCCCCCCCCCCCCCCCGAAGCTGGGTGAACGCACCATGTATACGCCATCCGCAAGAGAAGCACGCACATCTGAAAATGCGCTGGATGTGCACCCACAGATTTTCTCTCGGGCCATGGGCCATGGTGTGTTCATCATGTTCGCAGGTTTTAGGTCTGGACTCAGCGCGGCACAGCGTAGGTCTACGTGGTGACTGACTGTTACCCGCCCGGCACCGGCTGGATCGGATTTCATTGACTATGATTGAGCAACACGCTGTCTGTCTGCTGGGCGAAACGAAGTGTGCATGGCGGGGGGTACATGTGTGAACGTGTGAAGAAGGCAGTGAGCTCGAGTCGCGGTGTGAAGGCATAATGCGAGTGTGTGCGTCTCTCTGACTCACCGCTATCTTTGCACTGATAAGCTGACTATCCGAGCCAGTGGAACCACAGTACATCCTACCGACAACTGGCTACAGCTTGGCTTGTTTTACTAGCAGATACCGGTAAGCCCGAGTTCTTCACTCCAGCGTTGAAGAAGTCCATCCGGCTGCCTGACTAACGGACCACTGGAAGACATTGCCAAGCGGGAGATGACCTACAAAGAAACTCTCTTCGCCAGCGGAGACTTCTGCCAAGGACAGACCCGCCTGCCTGACTAGCGGACCCCGGAAAGACCTCGTCAAGCAGGAAGACATCGTTCAGCGAGAGCTGAGCTAGAAAGTTACGATAAAGCAACTCTCTTCGCTACCTACAAAGTCTGGAAAGAACAGACTCGCCTGTCTGACTGACAAACTCAAGGAAGACCTCGCAAGCCCCAAGTTGCGAAACATGCGCTTAGCTACAAAGAACAACTCGCCTCGCCAACGTGCAGTAGCAAACTCAAACTTCTCCCTGCTAAGAACAGACCTGCCTGGCTGGCTTAATAATCTTTATTAAAGGATCTCCCAGAGGCGATGAAGCTTGCCGACTGCAGGAAGATTTCGCCAAGTGTCATCACAACGGGCCACGAAGACCCACTCCACATCTGCACTTGAACAAGAAGTACGGGCAAGGACAGCATCGACACTCTGTTGCTAACGGTTGCTCACGACACGGTCTGGCTTCAAGTCCACCTACACAGTACGTGTGTGTCTACGTCTGAGGAATGCGGTGAGTTGATTTTTTCGGAGGGTACTGAGTACTGTATAACACCTTTATTTCGGTGTAATTTAAATTTCGGCAACTTCGGTACTGGTCCTGGATCACCTAATTTAACATTACACCTAAATTTTCCGAAATACCAAAAATATGTAAAAAAATTAAAAATCATGAAAATCACTGTCAAATTAAAAAATCAACTTGTATACTGGTATAGTACATGTACATTCCGGTATACATAATGTGGAGCCTAGCCGGAGATATTAGTGCAAGAGCCGTTTTTTTTTTTTTTTTTTTTTTTTTTTTTTGGTGCCATGCATACCGAATTTATCCTTACACCGAAAGGTCAGGGGTTGGCTTTTACCGAAAGTTTACAACACCGAAAATAAGGTGATATACAGTATGTACCGTAAGGGTTCAAAGAATAACAGTCAACTGATACTCCACTTGAAACGAACTCGCACATACTTGATATAGCGATGTTGTATACATGTACACTGTTCATGGCCAGTGTTCATGTCCCTGTTTGATAAATCATACCAAATTGATTGACCCTTTTAAAACGTGAGGGAATGGGAAAGTTTCCAAGGTGATTTGATCACATGACGCTGCTTGCACGTTGCCTGTGGAAAAATGTTTACCGCCGCCACTAAAATACCTTCCGCTCCTGTCCTGACAAGCACAACTGAATGATTGTGAATGTATTATCTAGTTAGGCGTTCTACAGGCCTGACCACCACATGGCGCCTAAACGAATAGTAGAACACGTTCATGTTACCACCGGCTATACAATTGTGTTGAAGAACACAACCAGCTTCGAAGTAAATAGTGAAACCATTGAAAAACCAGAGCGTAGACGAGGCCCAACAAAATTCAGAAAAAAAATTGATTTTCAAACCCTTAGCTGCATGCAGCTGGCCGTGGTGCAAGCAAGCAACAGTGTGTAAGTAATTAGTAATATGTACCTATTCTTTTCCCTTTGACTAAACATGGAGAGAGAATTTGACCAGGCATGAAATAGTTTCTCAGGTACCGTTTGAGTGTCTTGACCCTGCCCATTGTGCGCCGGCTGTTCGATCCTGTTCTAGATTGCACCAAGCCACCAACCAAATGCAACCTTTTTCTCATTACATTTGGGTCGTGTGTTATGTTTCCCGGGATTTACTCACACCACCGAAGTCCCAAGCTAAAATACATCCCTGATAAGCAGCATGGGCGACTTTCAAAATAGGATTGTAAATCAAAATGGAAGGATAAATCTGCCACCATACGATTTTCTAACACATTCTTGGGTACCGGGTCCTAGATTGTGATGAATGATTCTGAAAGCAAGTAGCATTGCAATGGCTATTCATAATGTTACAACCAGGCTGTTGCTACCTATTGCCTGGTGCGTTGAATTCTTCCCACACAATGACAACGTAGGGAACGCGTGCAGCTTGTCCGAGCCCTTGCGGCAGTAGTGGCCCGGTAGCATTGCAATGGCTATGCATACAACCAGGCTGCTGCCTATTGCCTTTGGTACGCTTGAATTCTTCCTACACCACTACAACGTAGGGAATGCGTGCAGCTTGTCCGAGCCCTTGCGGCAGTAGTGGTCCTCCGGAAATTGTTTTTTCCCTATGGGAGTTCTGCAATGGCAATGCTTGATTTTTGGTTTCTACAGAAAACGAGTCGAGTATCTTGTATAATGGAGGTCAGATGCAGTTTGGGTGTCTCAGCAAGCAGCACACCACTTACTACACTTGCTGCCAATGCATCAAATCTGATGCGAAATTCACGATTTGATTCTCTTCGTTGCTTGGCCACGCCAGCAACCCAATGGTCGTCTGACCAGGAAGCCTTTCTGGGGGACATTAAGCGCCGAGGTGAAGCAGACGTGACGAGTCGCTTGGCTTTACGGTCTCGAACATGTGCATTGTGCAGGCATTTACAGCTCTGCTTTCCAGTCAAACTCTCTTCACATTCCATGTAGCCGCATCAATCTGTGACACGTGTAATGTATAGATACTACAAAACGCTCTATGATCCCGTCACACGTACTGCCGCGACATTCCATGCAGTGCCCGCAAGCTCCAGTGAGCCCAGTTCGGCAACTCATTTTTACAGACCTCTCAGAATGCAACCTTAGCAGCTCCACAATTCCCCCCATGCAAGGCTGTCACAATGACCTCGTTGTACGTGTGTGTGTGTGCACGTGTGTGTCCATGCCTTTGTGTGCACGTCTGTTTGTGTGTGTCATTTTTCCCCAAGAACCATTTTCGGATCCCAAGCAATGAAAGAGTAAAATGTTAAGAGTATGTTGTGAAAATATCTCCCCAAATTTCCCCATCGTTCTAATCCTAGCTTTGCCTTTCGGACGCATACCATAATGTCGCGTATTAAAGCCGGGCTTATTCCTGTAGATGCTGTATCAGTGCTAGGCTTCTATTCAAGTCGGGCTTCTATTCTAACCACGTATGTCTGTGTATGTCGATACTAAAACCA